ATGTGAGCCATTTGATTAATAGGCTTGTTGTCATTTTTATCTACTTTTGGGCTACATGGGAAGGTTCGATTAAGGTTTTTTTCTCTCTAAGTTTTGGCTTGGTTGGACACAATCACATTGGAAATTTTTTTTTTGCTTTATATAATAATTTCCTTACAATAATACTGTTAACAATTTTAAAATCATATTTATGTCATTTGTTTAATATGAGTTAATTATATAGATGGCTATAGTAAACTTGCAATCAAATTTATAAAGATATTAAATTACATTTGTTTCGTTTGTTTGATAGGTGTTGATTATATAAATGGCTACAATAAATCTATAGTAAAAATTATAAAGATGTTGACTATTAGTAAACTAGATAAGTGTCTTGCGCTTCGCTACAATAACATAGTAAAAGCATAATCAATAATTAAAAAATATAATGTAATCGTATTTAAAAATTGATAATGTTATTAATTTTTAAAAAATAATAATGTATAGGAGAAAAAAATAAAGATATTGAATCTTGATATTTTAAGTACTTAAACATTTAAATCAGTGGATTATAATGATAATAACATATTATCAACTAATTCATTTATAAGTTACAAAAAAAAAATTAAAGTTCTATATTATGTTATTATGAACCATTCATTTCATTATATATCTTGTTATAATTTTCTTTAACTATTTCCAAAAAAGCAAGTGGCACTTGACTGCTGGCAATTTAATTACAACTGCAAAAATTACAACACCAAATTCATTTGACAAAATGAGTGCGTAAAACATATATTAAAGAATTAGCGATTATGACAATAAACAATCATTTCTTAATTAGTTTTTTCACATCAAAATCTAGAATCCAAATTTATAATTAAACAAATATGTTTGAAAAAGAAAAATATAACTCCCTTTCTCTTTTCTGTTATACATATAATAAAATAGTTTTAAAACTAACATAAATATGCACACATTTGTGAGCACTTACAACCATTAAAAATCCAAGAAACAAAAGTTGTTTGACTCTATTAACTTACATTAGCAACCTCCTGCTAGAACTTAAGGAGAGTAATAAAATAATAATATTTTTTTAGTCATATTACTTCTAAATTTTAAAAACCTAATTAGGCATATAACATGACTCATTTCAAGAGTTTCATGATAAGTAATGATGCTAAAAAATCTTAAATGCATGCTTAATAACTCAAAATCTTAATAATTTAGCCATAAAAGTTTATTCATTACTTAAGCTATCACCATTATCAAAATTATTGGTAAAGAATGTCTATGAATCTTCTATCATTTCCTTTCTCGCATAATATACATATATACATACTTTTAAACTTTTTATTAATGCACTTAACATAAGGTATAAAAACTTAATAAGTAATGGCAAATTTGTAAAAATATAAAGTCTCAAATCAAATCATAAGTAACCATTTACTTTTATCAATGATACATTTCATCCAAAAGAAAAATCTTAAACCTAAAATCCACATCACTTAAACTATAAATTTGAATGTACGTTGAAAGCACCTATAAAAAAACATGAGATTAAGAATTTAGATTTTCAAACCTTAGTAACAGTGATTTATTGTTAACAAAAAAATACATCAAATTTTAGATAAAAAAGTAAAAAATACAAAAAGATGTGAAATCTCACCTTAAAAATTTCATCAAACTCAACTCAACCAACAAAACTTATTTTCCTATGGCTGTGATTAGAAACAGAAAATAATAACAACTTATTTTAAATTTCTCTAATCAAATATATTGGGATAGAACTATTTAAACAAAAATGGGGTTGGAATAAAAAGGTGAATGATGAAGTGTAAAGAGTACCAGAGCAAAATCAAAAGATAAATGACTTTAGTTGAACAATTAAATAAAAACAAAACTCAATTTTACATTTTGTTGTAAGCTATTTATAAAATTTTAAAATGGTCGGTATTATTATTTTAAACTCATTATTTCATTCAATAAATAATTACATTTCTAATTTGTTATCACTATTCATATATTTTTAAGTGCAATTTTGAGGAAGATTATTACAATGGGTGAAATATAGTGAAAAAGCAAAGAATTTGAAAACTTTGAAGAACAAATCAATATATTTTCAGCCACTAAACATCATGTAAAGAATATGTATATGTTGAAATCATGTATTTATGAAGATGAATAGAAGTTCTTGAATTAAAGTTATGAAGACTGTGAAACTCATATATAAATAAGTAATCTAGGCTTAAAAAACCTTAAAAAGATAAAAAAAAATAAATTTAAGATTTCGAACAATAATTGGAAGTTAAAAAGGGGAAGAAGAAAGGGATAAACCTTGAGATTGATAAGAGTGACAGCGTAAATAGAGAGAAAGGAATGGAAGAGAGCTTGTCCTAAATTGATGATGTCTCCCTATTTTTGCCTTAAATTCAATTTCCCTTTCTTCTATTTCCAATGAAAAAGAGCTTTTTCACTAAAACTCTATGGAATAATGAAACATCTTATAGTTAATATACTTTTTATTGATCTGAAAAAGAAAATTTAAAGGAAAAAAAGAAAATTAAGAAAAAAAAAGATATAAAGCATCAAAAGTAGTATAACAGATTTTAAATTATTAATATCTAAAAAGCTCATATTGATTTCTAAAAAATATCTAATAAAATAAATAAATAAAAAAGAGCTTATGAATTAAAATTAGTTTTTAAATGAAATACAATAACCATGGGAGTAGAGATGAAAATTTAGAATAACAAAAAAATTAAAAAATTAGCAAGCTATAGAAAAAAAAGGAAGACAAAAAATGAAAAGGAAGAAAAAAATGAAGTGAATATATTAATAGAGGCGGTAGAGTACGAATTAGCTTTTAGAACTATTTAGATAATATTTTTAATATTTAGATAATATCAAACTAACTTTTTTCTTTTTCACTTGTTTGCTTTCCACTTTTGAGTAGACATCCAACATCTTTTCAATATCTTACGACTTTTATTTTTATTGCGTGAAAATTCAAGTGTCATTGACAAAGTAAAAAATTTCTTTTGTTGCACTGGTAAACAAATTTTCTAAAGTAGATAAGTGTTGCACTAGTAAAAGGTTGTAAATAATATTATATATAAGTTAAATTTTTATATTTACTTATTAATTTCATTTTATAATAATAATTATAGTAATATATATAATATTATTATAGGTAACTTTTTATATTTTTATTAATTTAATTAACAAAATTATTAATATTTATTAATATTTGGTCAATTATCTTAAAATTATTATATATTTTTCTTTTAAACATTATTTTTGTACACTCGAAGAAGTTTCTATTTATGCCTATTTTTTAAAAATTATTTAATTATTTTTTTCTTTTTTTTCATATTCATAAATTTAAAAACCTGTAAAAATTTTTAAATTTATAAATTTGAAATTTTTTAAAAATTTATGAATTTATAAATTAAAAAATTTTAAAAAATTGTCAAATTTATATATATGAAAGGTTAAAAGTTTTTATCTTTTATGGTTGAAATCAAAAAGAAATTTGAAAATCTCATATATAGTTTTTGTCTATCACTTTGTAAGTAGGTTTATAATTATTTGAAACAATTCGTCCTTTTTTTTATTGTAATATTGTGAAAATTTTTTAAGATAGGAGATTTTTTCTCAACTAAATTTTTTTAAAATTCTAAAAATAATTTTTCGAAAAGTTTATCTATATGTAATTTCATTTAAAGATAATTTAAAAATAAAGTGTAGGGAGAAAATTTACCTATTTTTGATTTTTTTATTTTATTTATGTAATTAGATTATAACCTGTATGATGTATTAAATAATTTTATTTATTTAATATATATATTAGTTTCTTTTTAGAATTATATTTAAATCTTTAAAACTCATAACATATATAAAATTTATATATATTAATTTGTCATTAAAAAATAAACTTTCTGAAAATAACAAAAACAATTATGTCTTTCCTTTGGATATTTTTGTTTATAATCATATTTATACACCTGTAAAATTATATCAAATAAAAATAAATTATGCATTTCTTAAAAAAATAAAAATATAGATTATTAAATGACAAATTAAATAGTAAAAAAAAATTCACATACTTTCACTTTAGTAATTTTGACTAAATTATTATACAAAATATGAAAAATATTAGAAAATATATGAAAGAAGAAAAATAAATTGAAAAAATATTGTTTTTCATAAGAATAAAACTATAATAACAATAAAATATATATTGGAAAAAAGTTATGAACAAAAAAAAATTGCAATAGTAATATAATATACCTTGAAAAAATTATTGAAATTTTTTTTAAAAAAAATGATATATAACACGTTACATTTATAGTCTAAAATTTTTTCACTGATAATTAGGATTAATAGATTATTTTTAAATTAATTTTTTAAAATTTAAAATAGATATAATAAGTGATAAAGATAATATTAAATTTTTTACATTTATTTAAAATATAAATTTGATAATTAGAGTTCAAATAAATATATTCATTTTGATGATCTTATTATTTAAAAATTTAGAATGAAATTTTTTTGAATTTTTAAAATAAAGTTATATCGTAAACAACTAAAATTATTTATTAAAAAAATAAAATTCATATTTTATATTTTTAATTTAAAAAATATATCTTTAAATTAATTTGATTTTCAATTATAATTTGAATAATTTTGATATTTGAATAAATTTAAAATTATCTAATTTATAATTAAAAAATTATTTTATTTTATTAAAAAATTATCTTATGTATTATTTAAGAGAATTGTTCACGTAAATTTTTATGTGATAAATTTGTTTATGTATATTGTTATATAATATATATTAAATATATTTAATTATTTAATTTATAATTAAAAAAATTATATTATTCTTTTAAAAAATTATACTATATGTTATTTAAGAGAATTATCACATAAACATTTTTGTGTCAAATTTATTTTAGTACGTTGTTATATATATATATATATATATATATATATATATATTTTAGATTACCCTCCCAAACAACTTCTTCTTGTAAGAAACCCCTTACCAGACAAATCCCATTCTCGCTTTTTATATATTTTTCTCTATCTCCCGTCCCTACTCCAAGGACTTTCCCTCTTTGTTTTGTTTCTCCCTCACAAATATTGTGCTCCTTCTTCATCTCAAGGTTACAAAAGAAGAAATCGAAGTTGGCTGCGGCGCAGAAAGGCCATTGGACCCCTTTATGCCAGTGGGGATTGGCCCCTAATCGGAGGTGTGGTGCGAGGAAAACTCCTCGAACGCTTGGCTTTGCTTCTCTTTCCTTGTTCCTCGAGTTCCTCCATATAGTTCAAATTGAAGAAGGAAAGCTTTTGTTTAAACCACTCATTGTTTTGGCCCAATTACAATGTCGAGTCCCAACAACCTTGCTCTTGACTATGAAGCTCTGGCTGAGAAGAAGCGCAAAGCACTCGTCGACATGCACCGGTAAATTTAGATCTCATGATTTGTATAGTCAAATGTGTAAACTATTGAAATTCGTGTATTATATATTGTTTTATATGAAAATTACATGTCACACAATTTATGTATCATTGTTACACAAAAACATGAAATATATTTTTTTGTTTTGTTAAATCTGTATATAATTATTATTAAAATTTTAAACTGTGTCACATTCCTTTTTTTATTTTTTATTTTCAATATCTTATCCATGTGTGTTGTGTTGTATGAATGTGTCGTGTTTTATATTGCCAGGTCTAGGAAAATTCCGCTTTTAATTTTTCTGATAAATGGGCTAGAATTGTTGCACTGGCCTGTATATTCTCTGATTGGATTCCTTTGAACAGAAAAGGAAAAAAAAGCTGGGTAATTCTTTTAGGTTTTCTTTTGGGTTTTATTGATTTCAAATTTGTTTTAACAGTGGTGAGGGGTCATCAAAAAAAGCTAGGAATGAGGATATTTCCGAAGGAATTATGGATGAAATAATGCAAGCCATGAACTATGGTAGTCGGAGAAAATCAAGCAAGGTTTAATATTTCTAAATACTTATATTCCTTTCTTGCTTTGTTTTAGCTGCTAAACTCATAATTATGATTGTTTTGGATGGCTTGTCTAATTTCTGTTGCATTCCTTATTTGTTATTTGCAAATGCAGCCTAAGAAACGGGGCAGGCGAATGGGATCCAAGAATAAACTGAGCCCCATAATTAAGAGCATGGTTGGAGATGCTACACTTCACTATGGAAATGGCCGTTTCAAAGAGGTACGATGTTTAATTGATAAATACAGCTGTTGCTGCATTGTGTTCTTGATGGTTAAACAAGAATCATGTGCTCCCAAACACTCACTGTTGAATGTGATATTTTACCTATTTATTAGTTTATGCTGGCTTGTGACAATGATAACTCAACATTCTTGTATTTTGACATGTCATTCTCACTAATATTTCTACTTGCTTTAGGAAGTATGTATAGCTGATGTGTGTAGTTTGCCTAAACTTATACATATCTTTAATACTGTCACCTTTTGTGTTTATTAAAACTTTGTTATCTAGTTGCAGAATTATAGTTTTTTCTTGTTACCTAATTTAACATCATCTCAGTTTATGGTCTTTATTTTGGATGGCATTTGACATCTGCAGCCGTTAATCTCAAGGAAATTCCTGCAGATATCAAAAGCACTTTATATATATATAAAATTACTGAAGACTTCTTTTTCATGTTGGTGAATTTTATTTACTGATTTTGAAAAGAAAAAGAAAAAAATAGTCGTTTAGCTTCTACTTTTTCCACTAATCGCACTATCTTCATTACTTTTATGGCCTTAGGATATGCTGTGACTTCTGCTTTTGGCTACACTGTACTTAATGCTTTGTAAGTAGGCTCTATTGTGTGTTTGAGATCTAAGATTGTTGGATCTCATTACTTCTATTAGATGCAAATGTCTGCGCACCAGGAAACAATCACGATGAATACTGTCACATTTTTAATATGCATTTGCACAACTTTCCTATTACTAGATATTCAGAGTGTCACCAGGGAATCTATCTTTCTTTTTACCCAGCATCTCTCTTCACAGTTTTAGTGATTTTCACAGGAACTAACATAACCATCAGCTTTGATCAAGAGCTGCTGGATTGTCCTTTTATATACTGCATTTGTATTCTTTCTACACTTTTGTTTCCCCTTAATCCTCTCTTCCTCTCTTTTAATTCACACACTTCCTGCATGTTGTATCATGCTTGTCTTGATAGTGGCTTTGGGTTCTAAGTTGTCACTTGGTATATTTGGCATTTTCCATTTTGTCTAGCCCAATCACTGTTGATCCCAATCAGTGTTGATTGAACTTTGCAAGATGGTATTCTGTTTACTTGTTAAAAGTGCAAGTACTTCACCTTATATTAGGGGTTGGTTTCATGGTATGGTAATTGTTAGATGGATTTGATTCAGTTAGCAAGCTTTTCTTTAAGTTTATGGTTCTATTTATTCTTCCCTACTGATTCGTTCCCAATTTTTTTTGTTGTAGGCCATATCTGTTTTGAATGAAGTTGTTAGGCTTGCACCAAATTTTCCTCATTTATATCATATGCTTGGACTTGCTCATAAAGCTCTTGGTGATAATAAAAGAGCTTTTCAGTTCTACATGCTAGCAGGACTTCTTAAGCCAAAAGATCCTGATCTGTGGAAACTGCTTTTTACCTGGTCCTTGTACGTTTCTTACATTTTTCATTTTATCACTCTTTGCTGCTTGATCCAATGAAATAACATTTCTTTCACTTCTTTATGATTGTTACCATTGTTTATTGAACACTTGATGGAGATGAATTAGAAAACTTTTATCATATCTCTTAGTTAATTCTCCATATCTTACTTACCGGTCTCTTATTAGCCATTGAGTTATTCATTCTTATCTCAATGTCTCATTGGAATAAAATATGCATGGTTGCATCAAGTAGGCTAAGCACGGTTTATGTCAGTTCAAGATAGAGGTTTTACACCAGAACTGAGTCCACCATCCTTTTTTGATGGGTCCACTTGCAGGGTAAAAAGAAGCCTTTTCTCCTTATTTTCCTTGTTCTTCTGTTTATCTTGTTTATTAAAGATTGTATTGATGGGGGAGGATAGATTTGGGGAAAGGGTAGTTGGGAAATGGTGAATGGTATGCCACTAGTGGGTTTTGAAGGACCGTTTTGAATGATATGATGCTACGCAACATGTTTCAAGGAACATGACTGCCCTTTGTTTCTTCTTAATAAATGGGTAGAGAAGGATGTAACTCCTTCAGGTATCTTAGGCTGCTTTGACGGGGAGGAGCCTTCGTGAGCATTCTTGAGGTGCCTTAACCTGTCAGTGTATGTCCATTTGTGCCACAAAGTTAAATCTCTGAAAACCTTCCTATGCGGTGTTGGTGAAGCTTTTATAGATAGATATTTTCAAAGGCTTGCTGTGTGAATCTACCAATTCCTGTTCTGAGTTAGGGGGATTCCACTCATGTTCTTTGTAAAGTTCTAATTTTCGACTGGTTCAATAGTCAATATCACATCAACTGAATGTCACGCAGGAGAGAGTATTGTAGTGGCAACCTAATACTGTGTATTTAGAAAGTAATAATTATATTATTTCTAATCAAATAAGCATTGATATGCAAAAGCTTTTGGGGTGAAGACTGAAAAGAATTAAATCATTTATTGAAAAAGGATTAAACTATATCAATTATATGATATACATCACAAGTAAAAAAGAATAGTCCCCACAGTATTCAGACGTATTTCAGGGAATTGGTATAAACAAGAATGATGGCCAATCATAATTTAATTATGTTAAATTTTGTTTTATGTAAAATAGTTCTCCTACTTGTTCTCCAAAATTGCCTGAAGGACTTGCAGCACTATTACTTTATATGCATTAGAGCTTTACACCATATCATGTATTAAATTAGATGTTTAGCAGGTCGAAGCAAGATGAGAATTTGCTGCATATATAAATTTATATTAGTTGCTGCTTTATCCTTGATTTAATTTAAATGATGATGGATTTAATATGATCCATTAACATTTATCTGATGCAGAGAGCAACAGAATGTTAGTCAGACCTGCTATTGCCTTTCTAAAGCAATAATAGCAGACCCTGCAGATATTGGTTTAAGATGTCTTCAAGCATCACTTTATGTTGAGCTTGGTGATAATCAGAAAGCAGCTGAGTCATATGAACAAATTCAACAAATTTCTCCTGAGAATGTTGAAGCATTGAAAAGTGGGGCTAAGGTGAACGTTGATTTGCTTCTTCTTTAATAAATTTTTGTTGGTGTCCTTTGCTTCCTGTCTTAACTTTGTAGTGATATGTTCATGCTTTTCATTATAGTACTAGTATTTTGGAGCTGTACTATGCAGTGGCTGGCTGGCTGGTTGGCAGCATAACCAGGAACATATGGTTGATTCTACCTTTATGTGCTATCAAAGGGAAATATATTGTTTTCTAAACAAAAGCAAATAACTGATGGAATTTGAGAATCGCAAAATTACTAATCTAGTAATCTGCGTAGCATCATATTATCGATTTTCTTTCTCTTAATTTGCTACAGCAATATAAGAGATTGTTTTTCATCATTTGAGTTTGCTTACATTTGGATATATAAATTAATCTAAATTAAAATTGATTTATCGGTTTTTTTAATTGCGGCTGCTCCTCTGTTAGTGTAGAATGAGACCTTTCTTTTTGTTTTTTATTTTTTTTCTTATTTTCTTTCCCTGGTGCTCAAAATATCTCTTTCACCCAATCCTTCTCTTCTTACTATTTTGATTGCAGTTAAAGCTATATGTTGCTATAACTACTCCATTACTTCCCTTTCTCTCCTTTGGCCATCATTCTCTCTAAACCCATCTGAATAACTCCCAAACAACCTTCAAATCCCTTAAGACTCCCCCACATTTTTGGTCTATTTAGATCTGAAAAATTGTTGGATCTGTTTCCTCTCCATGTTCTTTTCTAGTCAGTTGATTCCAACAGTTGTGGTGGCACTAATGGTAATTGCAAGCAATGGAGAGTGTTTTGGTTTTGGCCTTGAAAAGGATTGTACAACAGTTTTAGGCAGCTGAAAGGGGCTGTGAAGTTTAAAATTTTGGTACTTATCTAGTAGTTCTCGTCTTCGATATAATCCTTCATCCTTTGATCACATGCGTGTATTTATAAGCAAAATTGGGAAAGCAAAATCCCAGATTTTTGGGAGGGTGATTTGGGGGGTATGGTCCAATTTTAGGAAATATTGGCTTCAGATCTTTAATTCTTGAGCATACAGATAGAAGATGAAAAGAGATACTGAGTTTTGTAGGGGCTTGACATGGTAGGATGCAGTAACTAAATGGCTTTCTTTTGCAAAGCCATGAAGAGGAAAAAAAAAGAAGAAAAAAACAGTAAAAAAGGAAAATGCTGTGTTACTGCAGCTAAGAAGATGCATGTTCAAGTTTGTTGGGCATGTAAAGTGCTTTATTCTGTTTATAAATTGGAGGGATACTTGTAAAAAAGCCCTTGTTATATGGTAATTACTTACATAGACTAACCTGTTTATGTGTCTTTGGTGGGCTAATTTTAAGAAAATAAGTGAATCTAGGGTTTGCAGTTACTGTACAAAGTAAAAATAGAAAGCGGGTACTGGAGAAGAGGGACAAGGAGAGGGACTTGGCATCCATGCCACAGTAAACCATTAACTAATAGTTTTCATTTGTTGAAAATATATGTTTTAACGAGTAGTTATAAATTAAACAAGGAGTGATATGGAATAAAATGAAGCTTATTGAAGGCTTAACTATTTAGGTTTTTTGTTAATTTGTTATACTTTATGGGTTCAGTTCTAAAAGTTTTAGTATTTAGGATTAGGGCATTCAAGGTAATATTTAGTATTTCATATTTATATTAAGGTTTAGGGTGTAACTTAAAAGTACTTACCTTGTTTCAGTTTTTTGTATGTTTGGCTCTTATATTATTGAGATTTTGATTAATAAGTGAAGTCAGTTCTATATGTTCCTTTGCCAAAGCTCTTCTGTCTGTCTCCTAAATTCCTCTATGTCTTTCGTTTCTCTTTGTTTTTCCCTCTATTCTCTGTTTCATTCTCCCATCCTTGTTTTAAATCAAGGAGAGAGAAAGAGAGCGAGAGGGAGGTAGGGTTTTAAAACTCCCTAAATCTAAACTTTGGCCCAATGGTAAATTGAAACTCCCGTGGAAATTTCTATTAAGCCTCTTAAGTGTTAACGTGAATACATTGCTTTAAGAAAAAACAAGAAACTGTGGTATTCTTGTTTTTTTGTCAATATTGCTTAATTAATAAATTTCTATGCTTGGATAATGGGTGATTTAGTCTAAATCATGCATAGGAGAAGCCAAAAATTGCTAATATTCCCTCTAACATATCGTGCGTAGATTCTATATGGTTTCTAGATAGGTGAAAGCTTTCCAAATGTGATCCTGACCATTAAAAACTACATGGGATTTGGTTTGGATCAACCACAAAGTTTTTTATGGTATCACTGGCTTTATCATGAAATATCCTGAACACACTCCAAATGAAAAAAAAAAAAAAAACTCTCTAAATATGCTGAAAATTATGATTATCCGTGGGCATGAACTGCCATTTAATTTGATTAACCAAATTGAGAAAATTTTACAAAGCATTTGCCACCACATAATTCCTGTCTCTATGAAATGCTGGATGTGCGTTCCATGGCTGTTATTTATTTTTTCTTTTCTTGATTCTTGTATATAAGTTTAGTTCTTTCACTTAATGTGAATTGCGGAGACAAGCAATATGCGATAACCCAAAAAAATAAACCCAACAGAATTCGTCTCATTGTCTGGAATAGGCTGCATATATCTCATTCAATTTCCAACCTTCTCAGATCTCACAGAATCTGTTGGCTGAGTGGTTCCCTTTATCTAGAGATGTTTAATTTTGTTGATTTATTCTGTCTCAGTTATACCAAAAGTGTGGTCAGATTGAACGATCTGTTGCTATTTTGGGGGACTATCTTGAGGGTCATCCAGAGGAAGCTGATTTGAGTGTGATTGATCTTCTTGTTGCTATGTTGATGCAAAATAATGCATATGAAAGGGCTCTTCAGCAAATTGAGCAAGCCCAAGTTACATACTATTTGGGAAAAGAACTGCCTGTCAACTTGAAAACTAAAGCAGGAATCTGCCACATTCACCTGGGAGATGCAGAGAAGGCCAAGGTATGCACATTTTTATCTTATGTCCATGGTTACTTTAATGTTCTCTTTTCTGGAGGTTGCCCAATAAAATTTGTTTACATTTTGTATGTTTCATGGGTATATTCTTCTTGCTTATTTATGCTCTATGGCACCCATAATATGAAATATTTGAAAAAATCTCAAAATATAGCAAACCAGAATGGCGTTAATGTTTCCATTCAAATAAGGGCTCAATTGAGCCTAAATAATTGGTTAGGGGCTCAATTGATTGCAATAAAATGATAGGGGCTCACAAATTTAATCAAATACATGGTCTTTTTTTTTATATATATAAGCCAAATTTCAAAGATGTCTAGATGTCCCATTCTATTAGAATTTGATATCTTGTAATAGAATGTGCAAAGGTAATCTTCAATATTTCAAACCAAACTCACTTCATTGGTGTTAGATTTTCAGTTCTTGCTGCATGGAGCTTTTATTTTTTATTTGGAAATTCATTTTATATGTTTTTTAACTTCCTGCTATTGTCAATGGGATAATAAAGTAAATCAGACTGCAAGGTTGCATAAAAATTATAATCATGAAGTGGTTTTATTTTTCTTGTGTTCAAAATTGTTCTTAAGCTCTGGAATTTGTAAATATTTTTCTAAATACTGAACTGTATTAATTAAAAGAATTTGCTTGTGAATAAATGGGAAAATGTCTGGGAATATTACTCATAGAAACTAAAAGCCAAAAAAAAAAAAAAAGATAAAAGAAGTTTCAGTGAATAAATTGGTATTTATATCTGAGGGTTTGGGAAAACCAAGAATGCTGCATTTGGTTCTGTTTCTAAGTTTAAAGCAATAGCATGTATGGTATTATCATATAATATGTGGGAGCTCATTTAGGCCTCTAAATTTCCTTTTTGTGGCTTCTAATGCTTTCGTGGCAACTAATTGTATGAGTAAAAGTGCATGATAAAATTGAAATTGTTATGTTGCTGTTATTTGAATACTATTTAGCATCATTGACATGGTAATCTTTCTTAAACCCTTTTTCTTGTCTGTTGTTTTTTTGTTGGTCTTGGAATGTTCTTACTATGCAATTGTTCATACAATAAAGATATTGCAAAGAGGCTAAAGTACTAAAGCAGCACATATATTTTCCCAAATTTCCTAGATAAGCTCCTATTAGTCTTCTATTGTACCCAATAAAGCCCTTAAAGTACTATTTTTGTTTACTTAAGCCTTTACTTTGATGGAATTTGTTAAAGTCCTTTATCTCTGCCATGTCAGCATCTACGTGGCCATCTTTTCCAATCGGTGTCCACGTGGCAAAATATGAAATTCATGTAAAGTTGGCACTTACATGGTATGCCACATTAGCATCTATAGAGCCTTTATTTTTCTATGTATGTGCCAACAGCCATGTAGATTTTGACATGGAAAAGATAAGGATTCTAACGGTTTCCATGCAGAAAGGCTCAATTAAACAAAAATAGAACTTTGAATTGGGTACAATAGAAGGATAGAGGCTTATGTGGGATATTGAGAAAGTACAATGGCTCTTTTAAGTATTTTTCCATCTTATAGCAACTTGAGGTGTTGGAGGCATGCATTTTGAATGTATATTTTAGAAGTTTGAAATCAATCTGTCACACTCCTTAGTTGTCACTGAGTACTCTTAATGATCTCCAGATGTTCTTCAGTGTGTTGCAATTCAGTAGAGCACATGATCATGCTGACTTTATTACTGAGGTTGCGGACACATTTATGACTCTTGGGCATTTTAACTCTGCATTGAAGTATTACTATATGTTGGAGAATGATGATGGAGTCGATGATGTAAGGCACATTTTTTCTTTATCTTCCAACTGTTTCATTCATTTGTTCATTCTTTTGTTCTCTCTCTCTCCCTCTCCCTTGGTAGCTTTCTTCCAGAAGTAAAATTTGTTGCATTGTATGTCTATGTTCTGTTTTGCTGCATTTCTTTAATATAGCTCTAGATTTATTTATTTATTTATGCTATTTTCTAGATGCATCACACTCATTTGGCATATATAGGTATATTTGAGTTCCATATTTGTTATAGTCATGAAACATGTATGATACATGGAAGAACAGGCTATTCTTTCTTTTTTTTTTTTTCTAAAAAATTTAGCAGTGACCAAGTGATGCGTGCATGAGTTTTAATATTGCTTAAGTATGCATTATGTGTAATTTAATGTATGTTTGTGTGCATTTATTTTGCAAGTGATGAGGGGGCTGGGACCTGGCTGCCCTTAGTTTGCCAGTGTTGGAATTGTTTGAATTATGCATTGTACTGATGCGTTATGCAAATTCTGGGGGTAGATGCGATTGTGGGCAATTGATTGGAGTGTATGGTGTTTAGGTTCCCAGCTCCCACCTTTGTGTTCCATCACTCTTCTCTACTTCTTTGATGATTGAAAGGGATGGAACCATGCATTTGGTGGCATTAACCAGGGAACCAAGTATTTGGTGGCATCAGTACAATTATGCATTGTACTGATGCGTTATGCAAATTCTGGGGGTAGATGCGATTGTGGGCAATTGATTGGAGTGTATGGTGTTTAGGTTCCCAGCTCCCACCTTTGTGTTCCATCACTCTTCTCTACTTCTTTGATGATTGAAAGGGATGGAACTATGCATTTGGTGGCATTAACCAAGGATCTGTATCTTTAGCTGCGTCTGTTCAGTTGTTCTTGGTGTTTGACACCCTTTGTCTACGGATGTGTGGATATATAAGTACATAACATGGAACATACATGTTTTATTTATTTACATGCACGTAGAACATGTGTTTGTATTTGGAGTAGGACGACCTCCTAGGTAGCAAATGAGTGTCTTTTAGTTCTCTTTGCCAAAATTAATGGACAAAAAATTGATTTTATTTTTGCTAAATTATTGTTGATGAACTCAAAAGATTATGAGAATGGAGAGTTCTTGAACTCTAGAAAATAGCTTCTTTCTTCAAGGAACAAGAAATACTCCACATATAAATGATATTAGATGTATCAGCAGTCAGAAACTACCCTGTTAGCTACTTTTAAGGTTTAGTCTTGGGTATACACTATCGTACGATTATATTTCTTTAATCTGATGAGAACTACAGGTGTAGCTATACTTAATACCTCCGCATGATTTTAAAGAGTGTGAAATTCTGTCATATTTCTTTGATTTTTTTCTATATGAATAGCCTGGTTAATAGAAAACTAATCTCTGATGGAGGATCTTATTCTTGGAGCTTAAACTCAGATTTAGCAACTTGAAATTTGTGATTTTTGGATCATAAGGGGTTTTGGTTTAGTAACAAATACATCAAACCAGATTAAGTAAATAAGGGCTATACATTGTCAAAAGATAGGCCTTACAATTTGGGAGTTGCTTCAAACATCTTGCAGTTGATTTGTGGATAATTATGCTAGTTTGATAACAGGGGGGTAAATTGATTCCCAGTGTTCTGTGTTTCGGATACTCAATTGTTAAAGAAAAGTTTCATTTACCTAAGAATATTTTTCCATGGATGATGATGAGGCTGTACATTGCTTCTCTCATGCTTGTGGTCTTTTTGGTATTAAGTTTTATAATAGACGTGTATGCACTTGTTCACTTTCATCTGAGCATGTTTGTCTTTATATTTTTATGCACCTGTTTCATTTTTAGAACACTTTACTGTTGCTTTCTTATTAGTATTTTAACAATTTCCTTCAACAGGATCATTTACATCTCAAAATTGGTCACTGTTACTTATCCTTGGGAGAAAGAATGCAAGCAATCAAGTTTCTTCAAAAGGGTAATGCTAACACAATTCTTTGAAAGCATATTTAGCCTATATGTGCACCTGATAGGTACATGTCTCCCCACGCTCAAAGAGCTGGGTTTGAGTGTCCTTTCCCCCAATTTGTACCTGGTCAAAATAAAAGTTTAGGTTAGAACCATTTTATTCAGTTTGTCTAATGCACAAGATGCACTCAGCTTGGTGGAATGTTTGCCTGGAGCATAAGTTGTACATTTTGTATGTGTGGAGAATTTGATTTGGATGTTAATTAATAGATTGTTGTGAGGATAAATGAGTCTGGTTGAAGTAGGATCCTTAGGGCTTAGGGAAGGAATTGTCAGATTCCAAGCTGAAATAATAGTAGAAAATAGCAAGAAAATATACGAAGAATGCAGAGAATTTAGGAAGAGAAAAGGGGGAAAATTGGTGGCTTCTTTATATTTAAATGAAAAAGTTGATGCTTCTATGAGTGCTGGGAAGCTGGAGTTAATTGCAGAGCTGGATTCATATATGTTATTGATTTATGAAATCTGTATGCATCTCTAATAGAATCTGTCAGTGTCAATGTGATTTCTATTATTCTTTGTTATATTGAGGTAAAAGTATTATTTTGGTCTACTATTTTGAATTGTGCATTATAGTCCCTGTTTGACAATTTTTGGGTTTTCTTGTGTGGATGGAAAACTTAAGAGAAAGCAAGATCATAAGAAATAACTGAGGTCTGGCCCTGTTAAATATTGAACGTGAATGAGTGTGGATGGAGAATGCAAGAACGCAAGATATACATGTTTCAGCAATGGTGGGCTACAGGAGAGAGGCCAAAAGGGTTATATTGTTTTTATTCTTGACTTGTTGAGAAAATGCACAGAGGAACCCTTATCTATATAGGTCTTTGAGACAAAATATGGAAAACAGTAATAAGAGATGCTGAGGATGATGATTGGTTACAATTGATCCTAAATATATTTTTTAAATAAATAATTGCTTCATCAATTACATGGTAGACTAAGTGAATTTTGAGTATAAAATAATTAAAAGTTATTTTGTTTCAGTAGGTTCTAATTTTCCTTTTTCTTTCTGCTTAAGAACATAACAATTATAATCTGGAACTGGGGAAACTGGGTTTATGGCCTTTCTAATTTGGGAACTTTATGTATGTTTTTGATGGGGTGTTTTATAATGATGTTTATACATTATAAAGCCTGATGATAGTCTTGGTGAGCTGCATAGTGGAACATCTCTTTACTAGCAAGTTCTTATCTGCACTTAATTCCATTCTCAAAAGTTTTCATTTTAATGGCTGATAATGGATATGGCTCAGCTCTGCAACGACTAGAGAACAATGTTGATGCTCGTTTAAATTTGGCTTCCCTTCTTGTTGAAGACTCTAAAGAAGATGAAGCAATTTCTTTGCTGTCTCCTCCCAAAAATTGTGGTATATAGTCATGATTTTTCTCCTCCTGGATATACACGTAGAGCTATGCATAACAGTCTTTTTTTTTTTAATTTGTGGCGTGTAGATTTACACAATATTGACCAGAATTCTGGGACATCTAAACCATGGTGGCTCAGTGAGAAAATAAAACTGAAGCTTTGCAACATTTATAGAGCTAAAGGGATGATTGAGGAATTTGTCAACACAATTCTCCCTTTGGTTCGAGAGTCACTTTATATTGAATCTCTTGGGCTGAAGGTAACAACAAAAGTATTTTAATGTCATAAGATTTTTGTTTCTAGGCTCTCTCTCTTTCTCTCTCTTAATTTGACCAAAATGGAATAAGGAGATCCACAAGGCATTTAGACCTGAATCGCCAAAATTTATCTCAAAGGAGCTAGTTTGACTTGATGTTTCCATTAAAAGTTATCCTGGCATCAATGCATTTTTCACTCAGACATGTACATATCTACTGCCTATACATGTTTGTAGTCCAGACTTGAATCTTCTAGGGTTTGTGTTCATTTGGCTTCCTTAGTATAAATCCTTTATAGGGGTCGTAACGGTTCGATTTGGTTTGGTTTTGGAACAAAAATTGCTGTTAATGAACAGCATCGAACCAAATAGCATCTCTAGCCAAATTGACTGAAACCAAATTTTATCGGTTAGGTTCATCGGTTTTTCAAATTTTTAAAAATTTATCTTTTAATGGTTTTTTTTAGTATTTTGCACTAATTTAGAAAAAATTTTTTTTTTTTCTTATGAAAAATAAAAAAGTGATTAAAAATGCATTTTGGTTCGGTAATTTCAGTTTTTCAACTTGTGAACTGAAAACCGAACTGAACCAAATAAGCTTATTTAGTATCCCAACCAAATTTAATCTAACACTTAAATCCCTATTTCTTTTTCTTTCAAAGAAATCCTATCTTTGGACTGTCTCATTTACTGGCTGTTCTTGGTCAGATAAAGGTGAAGAAAAGGCTAAGAGAGAGTGTTCTATTTGAAAGAGTCAAAAAAGTTGATGATCAGCAACCTGATGGTGTATTTTGTGGGTCAAGACCGATAGTAACTCCAGCAGATAGGTGAGTAGTGAATAGTGTTCTCAATTCATGGAGTTAACTATTTCTCATTGAAGTGCCAAGTTGACTTTGAGTTCATTTGCTCCAATTTTTTTGTATGAGCTGAGCAATCTCTTAAAGTCTTTGCTTATTTATCAAATGAGCCTAAATATGAGGACAAAGTTTGTTCATTGAAGTAAAACAAAAAAAAAAAAAAGGAAGACACGACACATGAGCTTTTGCTAAACTGACAGTGAGATGCTTGATTTGTTTTTAGCCTATTTATTTTGGCATGCTGAGTATTTATGTATGCTTTCATTTATATAGTATCTTCATTTATCTGCAAGTAATTTGCTAAGAGCTAAGATGTGGAAAAAGAAACAAAAAGGAAAGGTGGAAAGAAGACCCTACTGCTTATGTAGATTTTGTTGGACCATAGTTTTGGGAGCAGTATTGTGGAGAGACCTTAGCTTTGGCTTTTCTCATGAAGGAAAAGCTTTGACTCAAATATGTTTCTCCACTTGGCAGTTCAGAAAATCCATTATCCTTAATTTGTTATCCTGTTGAGTAAGATTGCAGTCATTTTCTGGGGACTCCTTATCCTAAATATCGAAATTATGAAAAATAATCTTCGTTTGAAAGAACTTATTTTAAATAGTTATGATATAAGATTGGAGTAAAAACTTGCCTTTGTTATTTTCATCTACAATTGGTACATGACTTTTGAATAATTCTATTTTCTTGAAGCATCAATCAAGCTATTGTCATACAGTTTTTCCTTTTTTTTTTCTTTCTTCTGCTAAATATGATGTATAACTTTTTTCTGGAATCTGGTGTTCGTGTGGATGTGTTCTTTCTTTTTCCTCCGGTGGATATAAATTAACTGTTTTGTGATTGATGCTCTAAGAATAGGCTGAAAGCTTCCAGAGCTAGAAAGCTGCTGCAAAAGAAAGCAGCTTTGAAGGAAGAAAAGAAAGCAGCTGCAATTGCTGCAGGACTTGATTGGCATAGTGACGATACCAATGATGAATCTGAGGTAATCCTAATTAGTATATTTGATTAAACTAAGAATTTAAATTTTCAAGTGACAGGACTATGTGATTCTAATCTTACCTACTTGTACATATATTTTGTTGTTTGTCGCAGGAAGAACATGTTAAAGAGCCACCTTTGCGTAATCTTCTGAAAGATGAGGAGCATCAACACCTAGTCATAGACGTTAGTGCATTTTGTTTCAATTCCACCTTTCTCTGATATCATTGAATTTTAAATCTTTTTCTTCACTTCAGTAAAAGTTTATGATTTTGTCTCTCTCAAGTTGATTATTGCAATTGGACTTACTTCAATCATAAAATTTTACCCGATATTCCATTTTTTTTTCCCCTTCTTGGATCTTTGCAGTCAGTTAGAGTTTTTTTGTCCTTTTTAATATGTACTAAGGGTTCTTACTTCTTTCTGCTCATTAGTTGTGCAAGGCATTGGAATCTTTACAAAGGTATTATGAAGCGTTGGAGATTATCAAACTTGCATTGAAATCAGGTCATAACATTTTGCCTGTTGAGAAGGAGGAACAGCTTCGATCACTTGGAGCACGTAATTCCTCACCTTACCCTGGTTCATTCTTTTTGATTTGGCCCACTAGTTGTTTTCTTCTTTAAATTTGTTTTCTTTGTCAATAAGGAATGATATAATTAGATATTTGATTGCTAAAGGTTCATTATAATTCTACAGAAATGGCATACAGCACCATGGATTCCAAGCATGGGTTTGACTGCATAAAACACATTGTTCAGCAGCATCCTTACAGTATTACTGCTTGGAACTGCTATTACAAAGTAATCCCAAGGTATTTATTCCTTGATGTTTATTCCATTTTCCATTGTATGATTTCTTATTATGAAATGGCTCTTTCCTTCTCTTGGTTTGCTATAGCTTCACCATGAAATAACTTGATGTTTTTCTCTGATGAATATTTTTTAGCTAGCACTTTTTTTTCTACTTCTATTTCTAGTATGTGCATATTGTGGATTGTAATATATGGGGATGTTTTTGCATTACTTTATAGGCAGTTATGGAATCTTTTATTCAATGTGAACTACTCCACTGGTGTCAAAGTTGTGCTATTGTAGAGAAAAACTGCTTGCCTAAATGAATAAAACTCATGAAGTGTATGGATATTTCCCTTGTGGTGTGTCTTTTGGTCAAAATTATTTCTTATATATTCAATTTCCCTTGATGCATCCCCTGTTTATTATTCCCTAAAAATTTTCTCTATTCACTTGGTTTTCCCTTGCAAGCCATACGTTATGTGATGAAAGATGGCAAGGAAAAAGAGAGGAGAAAAACTAAAAGTGTTTACCAACACTTAGGTAGCCTCTTTTGTTTAAACAAAATGACAGACACGCATAAAGCTAATTCACTGTGCACTACCTAGTACATATACAGTTCCTTAGTTTCCTAATTATTTTGGCTGAAAATATGCTCTCCTTGTTTTTCTATTGAAAAACAGTTGGATAAATTCTGTGTCTTAATTATTAAAATATATAATTCTCTCAGAACAGATATTTTAAATTCATAATTAAATATGTAAATTTTACCTAAAGGTGGCAAGTGGGCATGTGGGTTGGATACTTGGATTCTGATTTTCAAGTTATTATTGGGTCTACCTCATTTAAAGATTGGGCCATTAATGTTTGAGTTGGTTCAAGTTTGGGTCATCTTGGTCTGGCTTTTTAAGTTTGACTATCTTGATTCAAGGTTGTTCTGGGTCCAAGGCATCTTTGGTCTGTTGTGTTAAGTTCAGGTGTTCAAGTCGTCTTGTGTATAAGGTTACCTTAGTCAAAAAAAGCTTTTTGTTTTGATTTAAGGTAATGATACCATATATCAAATAATATTTCTCAAATTTTAAGTCAATATCCTGTATTAATTAAAACAAAAAGAACTTGATTTAAAATTTTACTTTGGAATATGTGATAGATACATGAAATAACATTTGTCAGTAATGATTAACCAACTTAATTTATTAATTTGTTTTGCCAACTCTGCAATTAAGCATCAATTATAAAGTAATTTAAAAAAAAGTTCAATATATAAAAAAAGTTCAATATAATATCATAACCAAATATTTTAATAATATAAAAAATATAATATGCTCTGATGGGTTTATGATAAAATAAGATCAATTTACTATACACCAATGGTAGAATTTATAAACTCCATTCGCAAGTTTATATGTTTGTCGTGTGTCTATTTATTTAATATGTTGACTTAATGATTTAGTGTTGATTTCTTTATTCATGTGACTCGTGCATATACCTATTTGGAGAGCATTTAAACTTTAGCTGCTGTTAAGATTAGTCAAGATTGTGCTAGGTTGCTTGAGTTGAGTTAGTTTTTGGCACCTATTAATTAAATGAAAAAAGTTCTATTATATTTTAATTTTAAAATTTGAAATTAAGTGAAAAAAATCAGTATAGTTGGGCTATTTGAGATTTGATATTAGGTCTTTTGGGATATCTAGTTAGATTGTTCAACTTTTAAGTTGTATCTGGTTCTAATTATTCAGGTTTAAGTTGTTATGGTTGGGGACACTTCATTTCCAGGTTATTTTTCAGTTTTGGCCAACTTCAGGTTTTTGGTCATTCACTTTTTATAGGTCGTGCTTTGAGAGAATTGATTGGGTGCTTTGGTTTGGGTCCGCTTTTTGGACTTCTAATTTAATCCAACTTTAATTGTTCGTGGGATTGTACAGTATAACAATTTTAACTTGAGATCCTAACTTTTAAATGCCAATTGCATGGGCTAAGAATTTGGTAGCCAAGGTACATCTATGGGTCTATGTGCAAAATTAGTATTGTGTACAACATGCTATATGATTCGAGTAATCATGTAATTTGGTTTACTTCTTATTTATACTTCTCTGATAATTGTGCCCATTTGTTATTTATTGTACAACTGTCTTGGCTTTTAACGAAATTACCGTACAAATGTTAGGATATATTTTTTCTTAAAAAGGTAATTCCAAGTATTGGAAAAATAAAAGTTAATGAAAATAAGACATTAAACTGAATCCCAATACTGCAAAATGTAACAATAAATTATTATTGTTTATGATAAGCGAGAATATCATTTATGGTTCTGATTGTGGAAAAGTTTTACAGCTATACAGCTGTTATAACAAGTATAGCACATTTGCACAATTGCAAACATGATACATTTGGACTTTTACATGTTCGGTGATTTTTAAAATCCCTTAAATTTTATCTTTAAAGTAAGATACATAATAATATTCTACATTACACTTTTTTCGTTTTAGGCATATTGCTAATTGCAACCTATGTTGGGCAACCCTTATTTTTGTTTAAGTACCAGTGTCAAACATATATCCTATGGAAAACTTGGGAGAAACTGAATGCACCTTTTTTACTCTGTTCGAAGCAACATAGATTTCAACTTTTGTGAGATCAAACCTAGTCCTAGTAAAAGTGACATCAAAACCATCCTGAACCACCTTTTGAAGCTTAGTAGCATACCTAGTCATCACTTTTAATCAATTTAGCATCACATGTTTAATCACGATTATGATATTCGTTTATCCTGTGGCATCTCATGTTATTTTACTTTCTGTTTCTCATGGTACTGACTCTTTGATGTGTTGACCTGGGCAAGTATTGGTCTTTCTAAATACTTGTTTCCCTCAACTTCTAGTTGTTAATTATTGGTTTTCTGCTGTCTTAGATCAGGAAAAAGTTATTCAAGACATTGTAAGTTTCTACGTTCTATGCGAAGCAAACACAATTCTGTACCATCTATCGTTATTTCTGGCCATCAGTTTACCATGGGTAGTCATCATCAAGATGCTGCTCGAGAATACCTTGAAGCTTATAAGTTGTTGCCAGAGAATCCCTTAATTAATTTGTGTGTTGGTACGTCTTCTTCTCTCTTTTGGTAGTATCCCTACGATGCTTATGTACTTGAATCTTATCATGTCTATTTGATGTGAAACATGGTCATTTTCATTAATTTATAGGTTTTACCTTACAGGGACTGCATTAATCAACTTAACTCTTGGGTTTAGACTCCAAAACAAGCATCAGTGTCTTGCACAAGGTTTAGCATTCCTCTACAACAATCTCCGGCTTTGTGAGAGCAGCCAGGTTCAGTTTTGTTCTCATACTTTTTATCTTTCTTTTCTGTTCAAGATTACCATTCTTCACATGCGTCCTTTCATTTTTTTTGATTGTACCTTTTCTTTTTTTGCACTTTGGAGTCTAAAGTGCTAAAATTAGTAAAAGTTAAATACCTAGAAGCAGTGCTCTCCCTCCACATGCCCTATGTAAGTTTGCGGATTTTATATCAAAATGCATACGTCCAAGGATTCTGACATAACTTGAATCTGACTTGGGGTTGGTTGATCTATTCCATGCTATACACATTTATTCTGATTCAACCTTTAAATGCAAAACGCCTCATGTTATATGGTGAAACATCTAATTTTGTGCAGGAAGCATTGTATAACATTGCGCGGGCTTGCCATCATGTGGGACTTGTGTCTCTAGCAGTTGCATATTATGAAAAGGTGTTGGCAACGGTTGAGAAGGATCATCCTATGCCAAAACTTCCGAACGAGAATTGGGATGGGTTAGAGAATCAGAAAGATGGGTATTGTGATCTTGGGAGGGAGGCAGCTTTCAATTTGCATTTAATCTATAAAAAATGTGGAGCAATGGATCTTGCTCGTCAAGTCTTGAGAGATCATTGCACCTTTGATTAATATTTATTTTACTACAGAAATTGTGCTACTTTTAGTACTTTTGCATGTGAACTTTAGATCTCCAGGGGTAACAATCACCTTGATCTATTAATATGTAAATGGTTTTAGGATCTTAATCTTACTCATCTCCAATGGGAACAAGAATGGAAAATGTGTATTATGTTGTGGATCTGAGAATGAGGATTAGGATTGGCAGCCCAATCTAAGTTCGACGGATTTCGATCTGATTAAATAAGGTTAGATTTTTTTTTTTTTTTTTTTTTTTTTTTTAAATTTGAGTTTCGGATGACATATTATTAAGAGAAAATTAGGTTTGATTTTAGGCAAATTTGACCTGACTTTATCCGTTATTATATTAAAATTTATTTTTTAATTTTAATTTATATATAATTATATATTTATATTTAAAAAATAATTTTTTATATTTTAAAAAATAATATTTTATTAATTTCGAGTTAGATCGGATTCGGTTTCAAGATTTTGCATTATAAAGTGGGATTGGGTTTGGGGCGAATAAAAACTTGTTTCGATCTGATCCGTTGTCAACACTAATGAGGATGTATATAATTTTAAATTTTTGTTGGGTATAAGGACATGTAGTGTAGTATCTATCTTATATTTGTATTATATATATGTATATATTTATATATATTTAATAAATAAAATTTTTATTAAATAATATAAATTATTATTTTAGATTAATTAAAATTAATATATTTTTTTGAAAAAATATATTTATAAAAAATATATAAATATAAGATAAAAGTTAAAAAAAAATAAAGAATTGTTTTTATTTTTTTACAAATGAGTATTATTAATATTTATTAAATGTTAACGAGATAAAAATGGACATAAATTTAAAATATTCATTGGGCATAATGAGAGAAATTTAGGAACGAGATTAGAGAATGTTTTATTCTTTTCATACTTTACCCGTTGAATCTTTAAATGGTATTTTGCCTGGTAAATTTTAATTAATGAATAATGAAGAAAGAGAATTTTGTTGAAATTAAGAGCTTTTGCTTGTATGAATACGGAAACTGAATGGTGGTCTTAGGATTTAATGTTTATCAGATTTTATATTTCAATATTCACTCTATTATTATTGTTTGGCAAATTAGGGTTATGTTTTCTTATTAAAGAGTAATTAATAAAAGCAAAGTAATACATAGTTAATCAGCTTGCTATTTTTAGCTGGCTACCCTAGTGTACATTGAATTTGGCCAAGTCGAGAGTCGAGGCTTTTGTAGCGTCTATATTATCTGTTAATTTGTGTATTTATATTATATTATTATGTATCAAATACAAATAAAATATAAAAGTTATTTTTATCATAATTTATATTGATATATAATATATATTTCTTTTTTTTTAATTATATATAATTTTTATCAATTTTAAACCGAAAGATTTTGCACAATTTTCAGAATTAATCTAAAATCATCAGCTATTTTATTGTGTGAGAGGTGTTAAATGGGTTGTACTGATTGGTATGATCCATTAAAAAATAATACATGTGTTAATGGATACCCATCACTATTATTTATGGGTCGTGACGTGCTTAACACAGTACGATTCTTCATGTCGTGTTGGCCTTTTTAAATTTTTATTTTTTAAAGAAATTTTTTTCTTCGTTTTTCAACTATCTTTAAAACTAATGCATGAAATTAATATACGAGATACATAATTCGTATGATTTAATAAAATATTTTATGTTTACAAGTAAAAAATAAAAGAATTAACCAAAATAATATATGAAAATTAACAAATGTTAATATTACGTATCTAAATTTTAAAACAAAAAACATGGATATCATATTATTATTTTATTTCTCATTTTCATCATATAATAATTCATTTATATCATGTGTTTTGTTTTATTCTTGGTTTTTCATAATCAATCTTTTAAGTAATATATATTTAATAATTTTTATCTACTAATAGTTTAAATATTTTATAAATAGATTTATTCATACAATTTAATTTTTACAAACTGTTAATATAAAATATCAACAGGATAAAAGAACGTCCATTATACGATAAAAGTAATATAAAATATAATTAAAGATCAATAGATTAAATTTACTTATAACATATATGAGTTGACATAACACATCACATTGGTGCATGTGTACCATGCTAACCCATATGTCATGAATTGACTAGGGGTGTAGCTAGGGGGATTAGTAGAGACCATGACCCCAAAATTTTTTTAGACCATTGCAGTAGAATACCTCATCCCATTAAAATGAGTTCTATTTGCACCATTATTTTTCTCTATATATCCCATTTTTTTTAATTTTTATAAGTGAAATTATTAAAATAATTTTTTCACAAAATTTATAATTTTGTGGAAATGAATTTTTAAAAAGCTACAACACTTCTCAAAGATGCATTTTTGAGAAGTGTTTTTTTGAAAAGTTTTATGGAAAATTACAAAAAAAAATTATCAAAATATTTGTAAATAAGTGTAATAAAAAATTATTATTAAAGAAAGAATAATAAATATTTTTTATCGATTTTTAAATTTTATAATAGTTTTAATTAAATTAAACTCTTTAAAGAAATATCTCTATGTATTTATTATGATGGATTTTTTCAATTAACATATTATATTTTAATAAAATTATATAGTATTCAGTAGTATTACATTTTCTTTATTTATAAGTGTGCAATACTGTCCAAGAAAAATTTCAACTTTGAATTAATTCTAATTCTTTCAACACTTTCCTCATTGATTCTCTAATTCATATGAGATCGAAAACATGGTAATAGTGATTTGTTTTCTATTTTTTCTACTATTTGAAACATCATAAAAAATCTCAGTAAGTAGTCATCATATTTAGGGAAGTTGTGCACCTTTGAAATCAAAACAATAAAGTAATTTTTTTTATTAATTTTAAAATTTAAAATTTAAAATTATAATTTTTTTCATTACACTAAATTATAAATACTTTTAATAATATTCCATTTTTTATAATTTTTTTTATAAAATTTCACTTTTCCAAATATATTTTCAATAAGTGTTATGGTTTATCAGAAATAAATTTTCAAGAAGTCATAACACTTATTGGAATTCATTTTTTAAAAATGTTATGATTCTCGAAAATTCATTTTTGAGAAATGTTATAATTTTTTGAAAAATGGTGAATATTTAAAAACTTACAAGAAGGATAATTAAGTAATTTTACTTATAAAAAAATTTGAAAAAAAAAGGGTAAGGGGTGTAAAAGTAAAAATCGGGTGCATTTAGAACTCCCATACTAAAAATAATACTTGATCCCCTATTTCCTAATAAATTACTATTTGATCCATCATATCTTATATTTCTGGCTTTGCCTCTAGTACTAACATTAACCCTTGATGAATTATGCTATACAATTCAATAAATTCAAAATTTTTAAGCTAATATGGTACAAATATATAAATCATACTTGATATAACTAAAATAATATATGAAATTTAACAAATGTTAATATTACATATCTAAATTTTAAAACAAAAAACATGGATATCATATTATTATTTTATTTCTTAATTTGACCATATAATAATTCATTTATATCATGTGTTTTGTTTTATTTTTGGTTTTTTCATAATCTTTCTTTTAAGTAATAAATATTTCATAATTTTTATCTACTAGTAGTTTAAATATTTTATAAATAGATTTATTGATACAATTTAATTTTAATAAACTGTTAATATAAAGTATCAATAGGATAAAAAATGTCCATTATATGATAAAAGTAACATAAAATATAATTAAAGATCAACATATTAAACTTACTTATAACATACATGAGCTGACGTAACATAACATATTAGTGCTTGTGAGTCATGTTAGCCTATGTGTCACGTACTGATTAGGTGTTACGGTCCACACTAATTTGTGAGGTATTGTCTACTTTAGCTTATTGACCTCACGATTTTATTCCACAAAAGGCGTCCCACAAGTTGAAGGAGTGTGAACCCTTATATCCCAAGATCAATTTTAGTACATAGCCGATATGAGATTCATGACTCCTCTCTAGGACCATGACATTTGCCCCTATTCCAACGAAGACCTACTGTTCTCGGTGGCACATTACTAGTACCCCAAAGCTAGTTTTGATACCAAATGTCACAGTCCACACTAACTTGTGAGGTATTATCCATTTTAGCACGTTGGTCTCACGATTTTATCTCACAAAAAGCGCTTCACAAGTTGAAGGAGTGTGAACTCTTATATTCCAAGATTAATTCTAGTACACAATCGATGTGAGATTTATGAGCTTCTCTCTAGGACTATGACATCATGGGTGTAACTAGGGTTACTAGTAAAGGCCATGGGCCCTAAAATTTTTTTTATACCATTGCAGTAGGATACCTCATATATTAAAAAATGAAATTCTATTTGCACCACTATTTTTTTTTTGTACATCTCCATTTTTTTTTTCAAAATTTTTTATAAGTGAAATTATTAAAATACCTTTATCACAAATTTTATAATTTCTTGAAAATGAATTTTTGAAAAGCCATAACATTTTTTGAAAATGCATTTATGAGAAAAAGTTTTATGAAAAATTACCAAAAAAAATTATTAAAATTATTTGTAAATAAGTGTAATAAAAAATTATTATTAAAGAAAGAATAATAAATATTTTTATCAAAATTTTAAATTTTATAATAGTTTTAATTAAATTAAACTCTTTGAAAAAATATCTCTATGTACTTATTATGAATGATTTCTTCAATTAACATATTATATTTTAATAAAATTATGCAGTATTTAATATATTACAATTTATTTATTTATAAGCATATAATGTTATCTGAAAAATTTTTAACTTTGAATTAATTCTAATTATTTCAACACTTTTCTTATTGGATTTCAAATTCGTACGAGGTTGAAAATTTTGTAATAATGATTTTTTTTCTATTTGTTATACTCTTTGAAATGTCATAAAAAATCTCAGCAAGCAAATAGTCATCATACTTAGGGATGTTGTGCATTTTTAAAATCAAGACAATAAAAGTAATTTTTTATTAATTTTAAAATTTATTATTTTTAATTATAATTTTTTATTACACTAAGTTATAAATACTTTTAACAATATTCTCTTTTATATAATTTTTTTTTATAAAATATTAATTTTTTAATGTATTTTCGAGAAGTATTATGTTTTATCGAAAATGAATTTATGAAAAGTCATAATACTTTTTAAAAATTTATTTTTGGAAAATGTTATGATTTTTTGGAAATGATGAATATTTGAAAACTAAAAAAAAAATTAAGTAATTTTATTTGCAAAAAATTAAAAAAAAAAAGAGGTAAAAAAAGTCAAAACGGGGTGCATTTAAAATTCCCCCACTAAAAAAAAAAATTTAATCCCCTATTTCCTAATAAAATTACTATTTGATCCATCATTTTTTATATTTTTGACTTCGCCTCTTGTACTAGCATTAACCCTTGATGAATTGTGCTACACAACTCAATAAATCCAAAATCTTTAAGCTAATACGTTACAAATATATAAATCTTATATGATATATGATTATAGTAATATATCATGACAAGTACGGTCCGCTCCTAACTATATCATCTCATCTGATATGTTGTACATTTGACAACTCTGGAACAGACCCAAACGTACAACTCTTAGAAACAAAATTTGCTCAGGAAGGCAAAGGCAACGAGTAAAAAAGGCGTCTTCTGGCAGTCCCCAAGGGATTATCAAACTCCTTCCATTATTTTTAAAACTCTCTTTAATTAGTCTCTTCTCCTCCAACTCCTATAACTGAATATAAAGCGAAAGACCCCAAAGCCCCATTTCCCGTTACTTTACTCTCATAAAACCATCTCTGTCATCTTTCATCATGGCTTATTCTGCTGTATCTCAGGTCTTCTTCTTCTTCAATTTTCACCTTACTTTCTCTTTGCCTCCTCTGGCCCTGGAAAGAAAAGATTACCGAAGAAAATATAAAGGGAAAAAAGCTATATATAAAATCTAATTCTATGGTTATCTTACCTGTTCCTGAATTTATCATAATGGGTTTTTTTTTTTTTTTTTCAGGTTCCTGTAGCTGTTCCCATTGGAAGCGACGTTTCTCTAAGGAGATCTGTGTTTAAGGTACTCATTAGTTTGCTGTTGTTATCATTCTGATTTTTTCAATAACCGTAGCTGCTGTTTGGGTATCATTCAAAATACTAAGTAATTTGTACATTTCCGTTTTAGTTTTTGGTTTAGTTGCAGTAATGGGTTGATAGATTCATTGGAGAGACAAAAAACTAGATTTAGAGTATAGGATCTGTTACATGTTTGAATTCTCAACTGAAATGATTTGTTAAGCTTTCTTTGGACATCAAGTTTAGATTTTATGGCTGAAATTTTATTGATTTTAACTACTCTAATGCTCTTTGGAGTCAGAATCTATGTATGATCTTGATCACCAGCAGCCAGACTTAGACCATCCTGTTTTTGGCCTAAAATGCAGTTAATGTTTTATTGATTTAAATAGCAGATGGGTTGCAGAATAGTGGCCGCTATTTCGTGATAGTGGCACCCACCAAAACCATTGTCCACTGCTATTAAGGTGTGAGAGGGGATTCACTCCCATAACGGTCCTTCTTGGCTGCAAATAGTTCAATAATGGACCGCTATAGCCACTATCAACTTCTGTTGCCTGAGTTATATGTAATTTTTTCCCTTTTTTTTATCAAATTAAAAGGCCAAGCCATATCAAAACAAAGAAAAAAACCAACCTCAAACCACAACAATCAAACAACAACAACTTTATACTTCAATTTATAGACAAAAGAAGGAATCAATTTAAGGAAATAATAAGATATTCACTTAAAAGTACCTTTTTTTTTATTCACATTTTGGGTGCTCTTTTAGAGATTTCATAACCCCTTGTCAATTGCAACAGTGGTATGAGTTCTTGCTCTTCTCCAATCTTGATAGAGATGGGACGAGATTTGAGGGTAGAATTGAAGTAGAGGGTATGAGTGTTGCATGGGGTGATTCACTGTGTTGGGTTTTGGGTGGGTCTATCATGGGATGAGGAAATTGAAAGGTTTGCTTGGATGTTGGATGGGAAGAAAGAGGTGTAGCAGATTGGAGTAGGCAGAGAAGAAACAGAGGAGGTTGGGTGGAGAAGAAGGATACTTAGTCACTTGGTGAGGTTGTTTAAGATAATAAAATTGGTTTTTTATTTGATTGTTTAGATAAAAATTTGGGAGGGAAAGGTTTGGCAAGAAAAAATAAGAATGGTAAATTTATTCTTATTAAGTGTTTTATATGTAAAAGAATTATTTAAAAATAATTAATTTCACATTAAAATTTGGCTATAATTAATGTTATTTTTAATTACTTTTTTTGTTTAATTATTAAAGTTAGGTTTCTAACTTTGATTTAATTTGTTAATTGACAAAATTAAATTTCCATCAACTTTTTTTTTCAATTAAATTAGTTTGAGTTTCATAAACTTGAAAAAAAAGGAAAGCTTAATTTAACTTACGATACTATTTTTTTAATCCTATATAGTTATATTAGTCATATTTGTAAAATTCATGAATATTTTATTGAATAACTTTTAAATGCGCATATTGATTATTGAGCTATAATATTAGAAAAATGTTAATAACTGATTTTATCATATAAAAAAATGTAACAAAATGTTTTAAAAATTTTTAAATAACATAAAATATGAGTATTCGTTGTTGCAATTATTATTTACTTCATTTGTGATGAGTTGTGCAAAAAAAAATAAAAATTGATGATTGTAATGAGAGTTACTACTGCTATCTTATCCATTACATCCCAACCGTAATAAACTTGATGCGACCAAAAACGTTGCCGCAACCACATATTAAATCTTTGGTACTTTTAAGTATTGATATTCTCTCATGGTGAGAGTGGCCATGATTGGCAAATGAAGGATAGTGTGGTCATCTTTCCGTTATTATATTATTTTGTCAATTGTCAAAGTCTACTATAAAAATACAATGCCTTGCTTTTGATTTCTTCTTTCTTGGCAATCTTCAATTTCCAACTTCCATCATGCCTCAAGGCTGAAGGAGTGTCTATGATGCAGCAATTTTGACTTTAAACTTGGAATGATAAAGCCAAATGATCATCCCTTCATATCCTTCCGGAGAGTAAAAGAGTAAAATAGGTCAATAGATAATTGTTCTAGTGAGATGTTATCTGGTTTATGCCTCTTGAGTAGTGGAGTAGGTTATGGACACAAGGGTGCTGAACTTCATTTCGCAGCTCAAGTTTTCTCTTGCTTCATTAATTTTGTACAGTGTTTGTCTGTTATAATTATGTACTTTCATGCGTATGCATTTTTGAATGCTTTGACAATTGCCAAAGTGAGTATGTTTGGCAAATGCAGCATGTGTTGACTGATGTGTCTCATGGTAGATGACATAATTTAGCATTTTTCTTCTCAAGCTGTTTCTTTTATTAATAATGTTGGTGCAAGAACTGAACTAGAGTTGCAGTATATCCTGCAATGACATTTCAGGCTTACTTTTCTTTATCCTGTAAGTTAACCTATGTGTGGTCGTATGGTAAATTAGTTCTTAATACAGAAGTACTTGGCTTTGATGCAGAGGAACGGTATAAGCTTTAGTGACAAGTCATGGGCTTCCGCCTTATCCTTGAATTTGAAATCACAAAATGCACAGAGGAGCAATCAGTACATTGTATGCATGTCATTGAAACAAGCCAGCAAATCCAAAGTTGCAGTTTCACCTTTAGAGTTGGAAACTACAAAAGAGCCCCCACTAAATTTATTCAAGCCCAAGGAATCTTACACAGCTACCATTGTTTCTGTTGAGAGACTGGTTGGCCCAAAAGCTCCAGGTGAGACTTGCCATATTGTGATTGATCATGGTGGTAATGTACCATATTGGGAAGGTCAGAGCTATGGTGTTATTCCTCCAGTAAGTCTGTCATACCTCTAATATAATGCTGATTCTTTTTACTGTTTTCAGATAGTATGGTTTGTTAATCTCTAATTCTTACTGTTTAGAATATTTTAACTTAAATGCGTACATGAAAGTTGGTTGACAAGAAATCTTGTTTGGAACATAGGAATCGGGATCAGAATGTTTATTATAGCTAATTCTAGATCACTACCATTGTCCAGTCACATCCATTAGGGCCTCTTAATCTCATAAATTGAAGTTCTATGTATTCTTTGAACTTCATGTTTTAGTTTCTACTTTATAGATTTCCTCTTAAAATTTCCCATTTATTCTCTGATTAGATTTTACATTTTTCTTTTATCGTAGGGTGAAAATCCAAAGAAACCAGGTTTTCCACACAATGTTCGTTTGTATTCCATTGCATCATCAAGGTATGGAGATTCTTTTGATGGCAAGACAGCCAGCTTGTGTGTTCGTCGTGCTGTCTATTATGACCCTGAGACTGGAAAGGAGGATCCTTCAAAAAGTGGTGTATGCAGCAATTTCCTGTGCAACTCCAAGCCTGGAGATAAAGTTCAGATCACTGGTAAGATCCTTTAATAAAGTGGAACATCCATAATAAAGCACAGGCTTTCTACTTATCTTAATATTACTGTAAGGCCACAGCTAGAATTACCCACCATACAGCTATTGACAGCTAGTAACTCAAATTAATTGGAAATTGAATTACAGAAAGCTAGGTTTTGGTAGTTCAGAAAACAAAAGACAGTATTTAATGTCTCAAGGCAATTTTTTTTGGATATTCCAACCAGATGGTCACTGAATTGCTTACATTCCAGCCAATGGTGCATTGTTGTCTTGATTGTTTTCCACTAAGGTTGTCTTGCATCATCTTATCGAATACCAATTTTTATTTTAATATTTTTTCTCAGTTAAGATTGTCATATTATGTTTTTTTTTTTTGTGCTTTTTTTTCTCCCTTGTTGGCATTGGTTATTGTAGATTTTGCAGGAAAATAGGTGATCAGAACTGACTAAATATCTTCTATTAACTCCAATAAAATGTTTTGGCAGGACCCTCTGGCAAGGTAATGCTTTTGCCCGAAGAAAACCCAGACGCCAACCACATAATGATAGCTACTGGCACTGGTATAGCACCATTCAGAGGCTATTTCCGCCGCATGTTCATGGAAGATGTTACATTCAAGTTCCGCGGCCTTGCATGGCTTTTCCTTGGAGTAGCCAACAGTGACAGTCTCCTTTATGATTATGAGTTTACCAAATATCTTCAGGACTACCCCGATCACTTCCGGTATGATCGAGCTCTTAGTAGAGAGCAGCAGAACAAGAGTGGGGGCAAGATGTATGTTCAGGATAAGATCGAGGAATACAGTGATGAAATTTTCAAGCTCTTGGATGATGGAGCCCATATATATTTCTGTGGGCTTAGGGGAATGATGCCCGGGATCCAAGAAACATTGAAGAGAGTAGCAGAGCAGAGAGGTGAGAGTTGGGACGAGAAGCTTTCACAGCTGAAGAAGAACAAACAATGGCATGTAGAAGTATATTAGTTTTGCAGGAATATATCCAAGTCATGCCTGTTGTTAAGAGAAGCAGCAGTGTAGCCAAGTTAGACAATTTGGCATTTTCATTTATGGGTTTCACATGAAAACCTTCGTTTAGCTGTCAGCATACATTTGTATGATTGCCAAAGGGACTTAAAATAATTGAACTAGTTTCATGATTATTACAAAACTAGAAAACCACTCCATTGATGATTGTTGAGTTTGATCTGGCTACTTGTGTTTGGTTGTTTCTTCTTTCGTTATCATTGTTGAATGCCATCTAACCAGAATAATTTTCCTTCTTTAAGTTTTGAACTTGGAAGAAAAAGAATATAACCAGGCTTTATATGCTTTAGAGCTGGCAAATCTAATCTGAAACTGTAAAATTCGTCTAATCTGCTTAAATTTGAATTCCATAAAATCTGTCTGATTTGTTTAAATTCAAACTCGATCTAATTCGGTTTTATCAAAAGGATGTTGCAATTGAAAGAATAGTTAGTATATGTGGACATGGGTTTTTTAGTTTTGGGTTATAATTGTTTGGTTGGCAGAGCACCTAAATTCTTAATATCATTCTGTTACTTTAAAACCTATTTTAGATTAGTGGGAAAGACATATGCCAATTAAATTAATGGAAAGTTAGGCACTTGCCACACAAGCTTTGTTTAGGCTTTAATCACATCCATACGTCTCATTTTATCATTTAATAATTTTAGTTAACAATTTAATTATTGGCAGCTTTTATTTGCACCCTATTATTTCTTCAATGCACTCTTTATTAATTTCATCTCAAATTTAAACCATAAAAATAAATATTTACTCTTTACACTAAAAAAATTTAATCTCATTTTCCTTTAATATTGTTCACTTCATCACTCCTCGTTGGAGTTATAAATGAACCAAACGTAAATGAATAAACATATATTTGTGGTTTGTTTATTTATTTTTAAAGATATTCAGACTTGGTTCGTATTGAGTAAAAAAATTTTCTATTCGTTTGAGTTTGATTTATTTAAATAATAAAATGTTTACATTTTGTTTTTATTTGATTCAATTAAGTTATATGAATTCGTTCGGAAGTATTAAATGAACATATTTATGAATAATAAATAAATTATAACAAATAAATTTAAACAAACCAAAACGAATATAAATGAATCTTAAAAAAGGATTAAGATAAATGATAAAAATATAATTTTATTAGTATTATTATAAACAAACAACAAACGAATAAAGAACGAACAATAAATGAATAAAATGAACAAGTTTTAAACAAATTTTAAATGAGCTTGTTTACGAATATAAACAAACTAAATAGATCTCTATTCGTATTTGGTTCGTTTAATAAACAAATATTAAATTACTATTTAAGATTATTTATTAAGCTTAATAAAAGAACATAAATACAAAAATCGAATAAGTTCACAAACAGTTCGTCGAAAATTCTGTTCGTTTGCACCTTTACTCTTCATTCATCTCTTTTCTTTTTATATATTTTATTTATTTGAAACATTCTCCCATTAAATATATTCTGAAACCAAAATTATGTGATAGAATAATGCTATTGAATTAATTAAGAGTTAATCTAAATAAGAGAAGAAAGAAATAGACCAAAAGAGAAGAAGATTAAGACCAAAAACAAGATATGAGAGCAAGGAAATTAGGTTTCTCCTTCATAACCCCAAAATGTGCATATACATGACAGTTTTTAATTTGGAAATTGTAACCCATCCTATAACTGACTAATCATTGGCTTGACAGCTTACACCGGATAACTTTATTCTCAACTCATTTACATCATTACTGTCAATTTTCTTTAATCTTTTATTGGTATCCTTGTCAGCTTCTAACTTCATCACATTACCCTTCCTTTGAGAGCATCATTGTCCATAAGGATCAAAAAGTGGAATTTGAGATTTAAGGACTGAGAAATCCTCCCATATAGCATTCTCTGAACCCAAATTAGACCACTCTACTAATAGCTGAGTGACTGCCTTGTTATTTTTCTTCACCATTCGCTTATCAAGCACAACAGCTGGATATACCAATGGTTGACCATTCTTGCCCACTTTCAGAAGGGTTAGACTAGGGACATCTTTAGTGCCAACCTTTTTCTTTAAGAGGTTAACATGAAAAACAGGATGCAATTTTGAAAATTCTAGTAACTGCAACTTATAAGCTACTTTCCCAATCTTTACAACTATAAGATAAGGACCATAATACTTTGATGAAAGCTTTAAATTCTTTCTTAATCTAAGAGAGGCTTGCTTGTAAGGTTGTAGTTTTAAATACATTATATCCCTCACCTGAAACTCTCTTTTAGTCTTATTTTTATCAGCATAAAATTTCATCTTATGTTGAGCTTTTTCTAATTGATCAACCGGTAACTTACTTAAATTTTCTTGTTCTTTAAGCAAATCTTCCACAGTTGATACTCTTACTTCTTTACTAACATTCCAAGAAAACTTAGGAGGTGGATATCCATACAAAGCCTGAAAGGGGCTCATTTTTATGGTAGTATGATAGCAAGTTTTGTAACACCACTCAACTAAAGGTAGCTATTGAATCTAAGTTTTTGGCTTAAGAAAGCTCATACACTTTATGTATTCCTTAAGGCATTGGTTCAATCTCTCAGACTGGCCATCAGACTTTGGATGATAAGCTGTGTTGAACTATAAAGAAGTACCTAATAGCTTTATTAATTCTTGCCACACAGAACTAGTGAAAAGTTTATCCTTATATGATATAACAGTCTTTGGAGCTCTATGAAGTTTATGAATTTGACTTAAGTAGGCCTTAGCCACATCTAAGGCAATGTAAGGATGAGAAAGAGGCAAGAAATGTGCATATTTGATAAATTTATCAATGACGACCATAACACAATTAAATTTATAAGATTGAGGTAGTCCTTCCATAAAGTCTATGGTGATCATTTTCCAAGTCTGTGTAGAAATTAAAATCGGTTGTAGTAAACTAGGATAAGTAACATGCTCACTTTTATTCCTTTGACACATGTCACATTGTTGCACATAATCTTGCACTTGCTTCATTATTTTAGGCCAATAAAAATAAAGTTTGAGTCTATAATAGGTTGCTTGGATTCCTGAATGACCTTCTTAGGGTGAATCATGAAGTAGTTGAAATACTTGAGTTTTCAACAGACCTTGACTTTTAATATAAACTCTGCTTTTTTACCTAAAGACTCCATTACTAAAAGAGAAGTCGAAATCACTTGCAGGATTTATAATAAGAGCTATGATTTTTTTTGAGTAATTGTATCTCTTTTATAACTCAGTTTTACTTCAGTTATCTATTTAAGATAAGAATGGTTGAATGTAGAACATGCAGCCCTTCTTTTCTTCATGTCACCTCAATAGAGCATTGCCACTATATTTGTTTTACCCTTCTTATATTGAATATGAATTTCGACCCAACAACTTGATAAGCCCTTTCTTTTGAATAGTGGTAGTTAGCTTTTGCTCTAAGAGATATTTCAAGACCTCATGATTGGTCTTGATAATGAATGGTCCACCTTCAAGGTAGTGTTTGCACTTAAAAATTGCCATTAAAATAGCTAGATACTCATTTTTATAAATAGATTAATCAGTATATCGAAGACCTAAGGCATTGCTTAAATAGGTAATAGGCCTTTCTTCTTGTGACAAAACTACTCATAAACTTGAAGAATAAGCATCCGTTTTAGGTAAAAGAACTTTCAAAAAATTTGGTAATGCAAGTATTGAGGCATTGTTCATTGCTTCTTTAAGTTGTTGAAATGCTATTGTTGCTACACTTAACCAATGAAATCCATCTTTTTTTAACATGTTTGTCAAGGGCTTACTTATCACTTTATATCCCTAACAAATTTTTTGTAGTAGCCAGTCAGTCCAAAGAACCTTTTTAGAGATTTCAGACAATTAGGAAGTGGCCAATTCATCATTGCTTCTAACTTAGTAGAATCAGTTGTAACCTCATCTGTTGAAATAATATGACCAAGATACTTAATCTATTTTTGACTAAAAAAACATTTGCTTTTCTTGGCAAACAAGCAATGAAGTCTTAATGCCTCAAAGATAAGTTTCAAATGTAAGACATGTTCTTCCAGAGTAGTGCTATAAACCAATATATCATAAAAAATACTAACATAAACTTTCTTAGATATTCAAAAAACACATTATTCATTAATGATTTGTAAAGTGATAGTTGTATTAGTAAGTCCAAATGGCATTACCTTAAACTCATAGTGTCTCTGATGATTCCTATAGGCTATTTTAGGGATGTCTTTAACTTTGACTCTAATTTACCAATATCTTGACCTTAAATTAATCTTGGAGAAGTACTTGGCACCTTCAATTCATCTAACAAATCTTTCACTACTGGAATTAGAAACTTGTCTTTCACTGTCATTGCATTAAGTTGCCTGTAGTCAATACTCAACTTCCATATACCATTTTTCATTTTTACCAATAGACAAGGTGAAGCAAATGGACTTTTTCTAGTTTGAATAATATATGAAGATAACATTTCTGAAATCTATCTTTCCACTTCAATTTTTTAGTGATAAGAAAACTTATATGGCCTCAAATTTACAAATTGAAGCCCTTTTTTAAGGGGTATACTATGGTTATATGATCGAGTTGATGGCAGTCCTGTTGGTTCCTCAAAGATATTAGAATAAGCAGTGAGTAATTCTCGTAATTCAAAATGAGTCTATTTTTTATACAATCTACACTGATCATATAAAGCCTTTTATTTATGTTTAGGTCCTTACTAGCTAATTTTTGTAATTTTTTACTAGTAATGATCTTAACACTTGGTTGCTTTTTACTTCCTTTTAATGTCACTTGTTGGCCCTCTTTTTGAAAAGTCATAGATAGCTTATTAAAATCAAACATCAAAGGACTATTCTTTTTCATCTAATCAACCCCAAGAACTATGTCACTACCTCCTATTGGCAATATCTCAAATCATGTGAAAAAATATGTCATTGTATTAACCAAGTTAACTTCTTACATTTGATATTGCTGTATAATCTCTCTCTATTAGCTACTGTTATAGCTAAAGGATTAGTCTGCTTTAGCTTCATTCCCTTTTGAGCCCACTTAGGAGTAACAAAACTATGAGTGTTGCCACTATCAATGAGGATATAAAGTGGTTTTCCTTTTATCATTCTTTCAATCTTAAGAGTGTTGTGCCCAACACTATCCATAAGAGCATTGATGAAAATTTGTAAGTTTTCAGGATTGTCTTGTTCCTCAACTCCTTTTGGTTATCCATTACCATTTTGTATTTTTCCTCTTCCTCATTGGATTCATTAGTAGTAATGGCATAAAGTTGTTTTGTTCTACATACATAGCCTGGCATAAATTTTTTGTCACACTTAAAACACATATTCTATAACCTTCTTTGCTTAATAAGCTGCTGTCTATTTGGTATGGAGTTGGCTGATGGGTTTAGTTTTGGTTGAGTGTGAATAAGGTTAGGATAAGGGCCAATATTAAAGGTAAACATAGGTTTGGTAGTCTGCTTATGTCTTTTATTTTCAAATTCAAGTGATAATTCATGTAGTTTGGCTCATCTGTAAGCAACAATAAAGGTTCCAAGTTCGTTAGCCTTTACTTTAAGCTTGATATTATCCTTGAGTCCACTGATAAAGCTAGAAAACAAAGTACCCTTCAGTTAAATATGTGTTATATTACAGCATATAAGGTCTTAACTCTTCAAATCTTTCTTGATATATATCCACAATAGTCTTTTGAGCTAGTTTGTTGAACTTCTCTATTATGTCAGAATAGATTTTGTCATAGAACCTTTGACACAAGTTATTAGTAAACTCTGACCATGTCACCATTTCCTTTTGGATAAGATATCCATTAAAACACACCTCAACCATTCCTTCTAAGTACATAGCAGTTATCTCTAATTTTTGATGATCATAGATTGAAAATATGGCAAAATATTTTTGGCATTTTTTAAGCCAACCACTAGGATTGCTTCCATTAAACACCGACAACTCAATCTTAAGTCTAGGTGCAAATGCATTCATAACAGTTGAAAAATTGCTACTAGAAATGAAATCAACATGTTTAGAATGTTCAATATTGAATTGAAAGGTACTTTCATTGATTTCATGTTGTTTATTGGCTAACAGTCCTACTCCATTAGGTGTATAAGCATATTTTTCATGATCATCTATTATTGTGATTTTGACAAGTGCCTTATCTCTCTTTTTAGACTGAGAAATAGGAACAAATGGTTGGCTGCTAGTCATCTCTTTTGATTCTGGTTGAGTTTCAATTGCCTTTCTTGGATCTAACAATTCAAGCACTTGGCTTATGCGTTCATGATTTTTAGTAAATTGGGATTCAATAAGCTTTTTTTTATTTTTCCACCACTTTAGAATTGTTAATTCAGCAGTTGTTAGAGCCTTAAACTGCCCTTGATCATTTGAAACTACTTTTGTAGAGTATCCAATTTCACTCTGTCAATCATGGTTTGTTGTTTCTTAGGTTTTTTCAGATTGAAGGTAGATCTAATAGGCTTTGATACCAAATTTGTAATAGAATGACGCTATTGAATTAATTCAGAGTTAATTTAAATAAGAGAAGCAAGAAATATACCAGAAGATAAGATGATTAAGACCAAAAAAGAGATATGAGAGCAAGGAAATTAGATTTCTCCTTCATAACCCCAAAATGTGCATATACACGACAGCTTTTAATTCGTAAATTATAACACACAATACATAACTACTATTCCTATAACCGATTAATCATTGGCTTGACAGCTTGAACCAAATTACTTCATTCTCAACTCCTCTGCATCATTGCTGTCAGTTTCCTTTAATCCCTTACTGTTATTCTTGTTAGCTTTTAACTTCATAACAAATCATCTTAAAAATTTTAATTCAAATCAAGAAATTGTAAGTTTTGAACAAATCTAACTATTAAAATTCAATTTAAAGGAAAGTTGGTTTGAATTTTGTTAAATTTTAATTAAATTAAAATATGATTTTTTTTATGTGAAATTGTGTATGATAAGAATGTTTTTTTTATAAATTTAAAGAACTTACGAATTTACAAATTTATAAGTTTTTATAAGCTTACGAATTTACCAATCCATCAACTTTATAAAAGCTTACGGAAATTCATAAGATTTTATTATGCTTTCTTACATTAATGTGAAATCTTTTTTTCTCTCTTATGGTTTTCCCACGTCACTTTTGAAGATTTGACTGTTTATTTTGAAGTTGGCTGGAAGAAGGGTTAGTTGCTTCAAAAAATTTTCATCGCCAAATGTGTTAGTTGGATGAGTATTTTCAAAAAATTTTTAAACTTTTTCAGAAATATATATATTGAAAAAGTTTAAAGATTTTCTGAAAATATTTATCCAAAAATATTATAAATTTATCAGATTTATATTTCAAAAGTTTTTAAACATTTTGGATATTCATTTCATTATAAAACAAAAAATAAATGAATCTCGTTAGGAATGAAAAAATAATTTCTATAAAGATAATTAAATAATTTTATTAATAGATATTTTTATCATAAAAAATTAATTTTTTGTGTGAAAAAGTAAAAAAGTGGATGCATATAAAAGCTCCCAAATGATTAAGAAATCATATTTGTATTATCTTCTAAATCTTTTATTATACTCATAAACAACAAATTTAAAGCATTCAAAGCTTTTAATTTCAAATTTGTTTACGATTGATTCTTCCTAATAGCTTTAGTTCAAAAAAAAAAAAAATCCTTCTACACTGTAAAAATATTACTTTTTTATATTCTAATTTGTTAAACGAAACTTATCAGTTCATAAGTATATTTTTAGTTAATTTTTTGGTCAAAATTTTATTATTTGGCCTAAAGAAAAATTTCCTTTTTTTATTTTTTAAATTTCATTTTTGTTGGTATTGAAATTATTATAGATTAAATATTGATCATTACAATTGAAAGTATAACATGTTATCAATAAATTATATGATTATTAGTTTCTTTTCAAATTTTGTCAAGTTTGAACAACAAACCTAATGAATGAATTCTAAATTCAAATTAGACTTGCTAAAAAACCAGGCTAATTGTTTAAGTTCGAAGATCTATTAAATTTTGAGGGAATTTAAACAAAAAATTAAAAATTATTAAATAATTTTAAGTAAATTTTTACATTCGTTTAAATTTTACATTGAATTTTAAATACAAAAATTAAAACTCAAGCTCGATCCGTCATAAATAACATAAATATAATTAAATTATTGTATTATATAAATATATATATGTAAATTTTTATTTTAATATTTTATCTAATGAAAAGAGTTTTTTTTTTAAAATTTTATTATATAAATTAGACTTAACAAGTGAGTTTCAGTTTTATTTTTTATATGGGTCGGGTTTGAAAAAGAATTTTAAATTTAAAACATCACTTTAAATCAAATATAAATAAACATAAAAATTATTAATACGAAATATGAATCTAATCTATAAATACCTCTAATGCAATATGTTTTTTAGTTTACAAACAAAAATATAAGTTAACCACCATAAAAACATCTTTACCCTCCCATATCACAATTCCTTTCAAATTTAATCTTTCAATCATGTGGCTTTAAATTGGAAGGCAAGATTGTATAGATATTAAAAAGAAATTTTAATTTTAAGTTTAAACTTATAGTGTAATCATTCGAGAAAAAAAAGTCATTTGACGTTTTCTTAAAAATTTAATATATCTTTAACTTTCAAATCTTATATATTTAATCTATTTAAAAAAATATTACACTTTTTAGTGTTTTTTAATCTGTAACTTTAAAATTTTGATTAATATGCATATTATTGGAACCAGTACTTATTTAACGAATAGTAATTTAAAATTGAATAATCATAATTTTATTCCTGTTTTAAGTAAGTTATTAATGTGAAAAAATAGATATCATAATTTAAAACAAGATAACAGAAATGAAAATAGTATTATATAATTTTTATATAAATATAATATAAATACATGAATTATATAAAAAAATAGTGAAATGACAGGACTGAAAAAATGGTGGAACGTAACGGAAATTTATGAATTATATGAATGGTAATAATCGCGAAGATTGGATTGCAATAGAATACAAGATTCATTCACAAAAGCTTTCTTTATTTAACAAATTAGTACCATAGAATAGAATAATAAAAATTAATAAAAACTTTCATTCTCTTTCTGTTTCTCTTTCTTTGCCAAATCTGTCTCTGGGTATCTTTGGATTTTCAATTTCAATTCAGTGGTGAATTCACAAGCGCCTTTTTCAGATCTTACATCTCATTTTCTTTCACTTTTTATTTCTTCGTTTTTGAAATTTCTATTGTTGCTTTGGCTATTTGTTTCTTCATATTATCCTTTCTGTTAATAATTATTGTGTTTATTTTATTAGTAGCTGATTTCTTGAATATTAATCATTGGCTTTTCTCTGTTTCTGTTCTGTTTGTTGCTGGAAAAAATGTAGAAAATTATAATTGGATTTCAATTTTTAATTTTTTTAAAAAATAATTCCATATTTCAATTTCAAATTATTTCATTTCTTTGCAGTTTTAGGATATTGTTATTTCATTTGGAGTTTTTCCTTAATTTCATTTCTATATTTCTTCGTTTATCGTTTGTTTGATAATAATTAATTATTATTATTATTATTATTATTATTATTATTATTATTATGGTATTTCACTTCTCTTTAGAATGCAGTAAAGCATATAAGATATTATTAAAAAAAAAAAGAAAAGGAGCAGAGAAATACATGGCTTTTTTTTTCAAATCCATTTAGCTGATTTTTATTGGTTTGTTTGGGTTTTGTCAGTTTTTTTCAAGGTTGCTTGTTGGATGATTGTGGGTTGGTAGCAGAGCAATGAGCGGAGTTAAAAAGCCTACCTCAGGTTGGCATGCCAAGATTACATTAATCAATGATGCTCATATTCAGTCAGTTCAATTTCAATAGAATGATTTCTAAACTTTCTGCTCTATGAATTATAGTTGATAATCATGTTCTCCATGTAAAACTATCAGGGAGTATGTAGCTTAGAATTTTTCCGATTATATTTTAGTTCTTTGGGGTTAAGCTTTCCTTCAATAATTTGCAGTTTCACTTTTTTCGTATGTGAAAATTTTTTATTAGTAGGTGAAAAGGTTGTTGATAGAAATGAGTGGCGCAAGAAGATTCAAAATTACGACCTAACATATTCCCTTTTTGGCCTTTCATACAGCCGAGCCCAGAGTTATGGGATATAAGGCTTAGTTTGTTATTGTTGTTGAAAATTTTTTATTAGTAGGTATGCACCATGCACCGGATATTTGCACATGCACTGAGACTTTTCTGAAACTAATTGCGCAAAGTTTTAGCATTATTTTGTGGTTGGCATATGCATCTCAATTTGAAGAGAGCTAATCTTTTGGATTTGGCTATGTAGAATTCGGTTGTCAACTTCTTTTTCTTCACTACGAAGTGTGAAACTTATCTATATAAAGGCCTAAGCATTAGAATGGTGCTTGAGAATGAAAGGATAAATTCATATCCTTAAAGCCATTCATTTCTCCTTTTCTCCTCCTCTCTACCACTCTTGAATCTGGTTTTGCACTGTGATCAAACACTAGAAAACCTAATGGTTTACTTTTTGGTTTTACATTGAGTATAAGAGGCCAGAGATTCTCCATTTTGGTGAATTGAACCTTAATACATCCATAATTGCATTTTTTTTCATGACAATATAACTGTCTCCTTCCTTAATATATCTTGGTTTTTGTAATACATTAATTTACTGAAATTTGTAGAAAATGTGTCTTTCCTCTGCAGCTAATGGAAGATTGAAGAGCCTGTTGAATCAAACTGATAATCGCATTTGTGCTGATTGCAGTGCTCCGGATCCGAAGTGGGCGTAAGTTTTGCCATTTCAACTTGTTTATATTTTGCCTAGTCATTTCTATTCCTATGAACAGGAGATAGAGCATCCAATGAACACATTTCTCTTTGGCACCTTTGAAGTATGAATTTAATGCAAAGCTTAGAACCTAACCACATAAAGCATGTGTAGGTATGCTTATTTGTAGGATAAGAAAGGATTATGAAAATCACTTGACAATTGTATTTTCAGATCAGCAAATATTGGAGTCTTTATATGCTTGAAATGTTGCGGTGTGCACAGAAGCCTCGGTGCCCACATCTCCAAGGTGACTACTTTAGGTTGCATCTAATATAATATTTTTCCTCATGGAATCTTGACCCCTCATTGGGGAAACGTATGAGCGATTTTCTGTTGGCTATTTATTGCATAGATGGTTAATTGGTTGTATAATTTTTCATATGCTATTTGTTTATCTGATTTTTAGCATGGGAATTTTAATATAATTTGATAAATCATTACAATTAGAAGATTCAAGTGTTGGGCAATAGGTGTGTACTTTGATAATAGAACCAGCGGAGGCATAGCTGTGAATTTTACATGATAAATAAAATGTTTCATGATATAAATTGGAACAAAAAAACAAATTTAATCAATAAATATACGAACTAATGAGCCTAACTGCTAGCCTATTTAAGATAACCACTTATTTATCCAGAATGAATGTCTGTGTTAATTCACATACTTGTATTTCTCTAAAGCTTCCCTGGCTTAACCTGTTTAAAGCTAGGAATAACATTCATGTTGGATCAAGATGAAAATTTAATTATTTTGGGGATTGATTTTGTTTCAGCTGTTAAATAAATCTTGTTTCTTTTTATTGTGTTTCCTTATAAGTTTGTGTGATCCACTCAAATTGTCATGCAGAACTGATACATGGCTCAAAAGCATTTATCTGTCAAGTGTAATGTTATTGGTTAGTTGTTATGATCATAATACCAGTTGAATCTTTCATATGTTTGATTGAAGTCTTTCACATTTTTATGCTACCTTTGTAGACTTTTTTAACTGTGGATTTTTGTGATGGATTTGCCCTTTTGAGGGCTTAACTTTAGAGTATTATGTTTTTTATTTTTTACTTTTGTTGTTATATTATCATTATTTTGACCACATTGATAACCATACCGTGCTTACTAATCCTCTTACATTATAAACTTTATTTTAGTGTCTCGTTGTTCACTTAGAGTGTCTTTTATTCTTGTCCCTTTTTTTACTTTCTGATTATTTCAGGTTTTGTCTGTGGCATTGGATGAATGGTCTGATGATGAAATTGATGCCATGATTGAAGTTGGAGGAAATTCCTCTGCTAATGCTATCTATGAGGCCTATATACCTGAAGGTTGTTCAAAGCCTGGTCCAGATGCTAGTAATGGTGAACGAAGGAGATTCATCAGGTTAGAGTTTAGACAAATTTAGAATCTCTGAAGTTCAGCATTTCTTTTTCACCTCTTGGATACATTGTGTGTTCTAAACCTATTTTACCAATTCATACCATCCTTTTGTTGGCACCTCTTTACTGGATTTAGATAGAAGGTTGGTGTCTTCAACTGCAGTAACTGTATTATGAAGTACCATTCAACCTATTTTATTATTGCTCTTTCTGTGTTTGTTCTGGAAGCATATAGCTGATTTGACAGATCAACATAGCTTAGATGTTATAGTAATTACTTATTTCAAATCTTCTTGTAGGGCCAAGTATGAACTTCAAGAGTTTTTGAAACCTAGCTTGCGGATCACATCAGGGAAGAGTTCTGCTTCTATTCGATCAAGCTTTTCTAAAAGGATTTTGGATAGTTTCCGATTAAAGCCATCAAAGAAATCGGTAAATTCATTTGCTCTTTGTTTCTTCCATTCTGATTCATTGTCTCAGGAACCATAAGGAAGATCGTGTTGCTAATGATTTTAAGAGATAATATGGTCACTTGTCGAATAGCGTGAGCTGAACATGTAGATGGGATGTGTCTGTTGCATTATATTTGTAGGCTCATCTTGCATTCGGTTTTTGTCTGTTTCGATCCATAATTATTGAGGGTGTATATTTTATGTGCTGCTTGTTTACATGCTGTGAGTTGGTTTTTGTTTACTACTTTGGAAAAGTAAATCTACCGGTAAAACCTGGCAAAGTTCCAAGTTAACTGTTGCAAGTTGTCACTGTATTCTTTCTGAGAAAAGTCAAGTCATTATTAACATTAGCAATTAAATACCTCAACATGAATTTAACTGGCTATATGTGCTATGTTTAATAACTTCAATCCGTTTGACGTGAAAGTGATAACAGGAAGGCATAGTAGAATTTATTGGGTTACTGAAGGTCAAAGTGGTAAAAGGCATAGATTTAGCCATCCGGGATATGATGACAAGTGATCCTTATGTTGTCCTGACTCTTGGGCAGCAGGTTAGTCGCTGCACATCTTTGGCTTTTATGCTCATACTGAAACTAAAAAATTCTGTCAAGGCTATACATTTTGTTGTCACTACCTTTTGAAAATTTCAAAATAGAGACCTTTATAAATTATGTTATTCTGTCTCTCTTTCTCTCTGTGTGCATGTGCATACACGGATTTGTGGGCATTTATGCTTGTAGGTTACATCAGTATCACTTCTGCTTGTGGATCAAGCTGTTAGTACCATTCACTTGGTTGGATTGTGGTGCAGGCTTCAGACCTTTATTAAAGCTTTTGTCGTACTTTATATATTTGTCCTTTTAATTAGTGCTACAAAGATGTACCTTCTGGATATACTTTGCATGTTTTCTTTTGTGTTTGTTTTCCTATCAAAATGAGAATAAGGTTTAGTTGCTTTGAATGGTGAGAGTTCTTCTAGTAATGGTAACATTGGGTCTTTGATCTTATTAGACTGTTCAGACGAGTATAGTAAAGAGCAACTTGAATCCAGTTTGGAACGAGGAACTCACGCTGTCCGTTCCTCACAATTTTGGACCTGTAAAGTTGGTACGTGTAGTTTTCTTACCAATCTATGTTATTAAGAAACTTTGTAGTTGTTTCCTCAAAAAAAAAAAAAAGTCTACTATTTTTTAAAGAACTATTATTTCCTTCTGTATGTATGCAATATGAAAATTTGTGGTTCTACCTATTTATGAAGTTCTGTACATGGCAATGAGGCTGATTGGGTTGGATTTGAGTCAAGTCATGAATTTCATGTATTTGGCTCTGTTTCAAGGATTGTATAAGTTCAGGTTGGTTTGGTTTCCTGTTGGCTGGGTTTGAGTCATTTCAGGTTATATTTTGTCGACTCTGTTATTATCAATAAAGCTAGAGATGCATTTCAATGCTCTATTAGTCTTATTTTGTTATTTAGAATGACATTTCTAGCATCTTAATCAGTTCGACATTGCAGCAAGTATATGATCATGACACGTTCTCGGCTGATGACATAATGGGAGAAGCAGAGATCGATATCCAGCCGTTGATAACATCTGCAATGGCATATGGGGACCCAGAAATGTTTGGGAATATGCAGATTGGGAAATGGCTGAAGTCGCATGATAATGCTCTTATAGAGGACAGCATCATCAACATTGCTGAAGGGAAGGTGAAACAAGATGTGTCATTGAAGCTCCAAAATGTTGAATCTGGAGAAATTTATCTGAAAGTAGAGTGGCTGCCTGTTGATCAATAAGTATAATCATTCTTCCTCCACCAAATAATATTGTTTGTTGTCCATATGGAGTGGAAGTGGAAACACATTCTTCTCTTATTTATTGTATTCAACTTCTATGAATTCATTTTTCTTTTGCTATATTTGCATCCCAAATAGAAAGTAAATATAAAATCAATTTTTATGTATACTATTAATGAAAATTAAGTTAATGAATTAAAATTATCTCTAAAAGATAATAATAATATATCTTGCTAAATAATTTATATTAAAATATAGAAAACTAAAATTTAATATTAAAAATTATTATTTATAATTGGGTTTCAATGGTGGGTATTGTAAGATCTTTACTCGAACTGTGACAGGTTGCAATTTTACTATTTGAAATTCACCGGAACTTGATAACAGGCACCGTAACATAATCTTACTTAAAAAGGGGTCGGATAAAGGAATGTATCCGGTTATAAAGAATGCTGATTATATGATCTATTTTAGGGAAGTGAATGATATATTAATATTTGCAAGTTATTTGAATTTGATTTGAATAAAATTGAAATTCGGTTCGATTATTATCGAGTCAAGATCTAGCTCGAATAATTTGACTCATCAATCAAATCAAGTTTGAGTATTTTTATACCTGATTTAAGTAGTTTGTAAGTCTAATCAAATTTTTATATTAAATATATTTTTATTATTTTAATTAATAAAATATCTCGAATTCGAGTTCGAGGTCGAATACAAATAATCAAATTTTTATCGAAAATAAAAATCGAGTTTATTTTTATATATTAATCAAGCTTCATTGAGCGAGCTCGAATACGTCGATTTTTATCTCGAGTTAAGCTTGAATTAGAAAAATAAAACTTGATTGGGTTTGAATCGAGTTTTGAGCATTAAATTTCGAATCGAGCTTGAGCTTGACCTTGATATTGTATCGTCTCGAACTCGATCGATTATACTCCTAATCTATTTACTTGGATGAACTTTACAAAGAGTAGAGATTATGTCAGCATCATACCATATTATGTGTGAAGGAAAGATGTTAGCACACTCATGAGCGGATGGTTTTTAGGGCCTGAGGGGCTTAGTCCCCAAAAAAATTTAGAAATCTTTAGATGGCATTTGGATTGGAGAAATTTAAAAATTTTTCTTCAAAGTTTTGATAGTGGATATTTAATTTTCGCATTAGTTTAGGATAATCCGATTACGAGAGAAAGTGACATATTTCCAATAGTATTCAAAGTTTCGAAATCATAAATTCACTTCATCTTGTAGTATTCTAAGATTCTGGGGTAAAGTTGCCATTTTTTAAATTTAATTTGAATAAAAAATTATAAAATAATTGTTACCTTTTTAAAAAACATGTCTAGAAGTGACTGAAACTCAATTATAAATTTTTGTAAATTTTTTTTTATATTGTAATTAAAGCGTTTGGCATAAAATGCCTTAAATAATCTTTTTTGTTTTTATAAATAGATTATTTAAGGCATTTCTATATATAAGACTTCTTAAATAATCTTCTTATATTTTAAGATTTAGGGTTTATGGTTGATATTTTTATAAAAGGATTATTTAAGACGTTTTTGTACAAAAAAATGTCTTAAATAATCATTTTATATTTTAAGATTTAGAATTTATGGTTAATATTTTTATAAAATGATTATTTAAGACATTTTTGGACAGAAAACGCCTTAAATAATTTTTTTATATTTTTACAAATAGACTATTTAAGATGTTTTTTATACAAAAACACCTTAAATAATCTTCTCATTTTTTTAAATGGATTATTTAAAGCGATTTTGGTTCAAAATCGTCTTAAATAATACCCTTTAAAAAATAAAAAAAATTATTTAATACATTTTTAGTCTAAAAACGCCTTCAATAATCTTTTTCATTTTTTTAAAAAAATATTATGGATTATTTAAGGCATTTTTAATTGAAAACACATTAAATAATTCGAATTTTTTTTTTATTGATGATATTTTATAAATAAAAATAGCAATCATAAAAATATTTGTTTTCTTTTACTACTAAAGACATTATTTGTCATTTGAGTATTTATTATTAATAAAAGTTAATGAAAGTTACCATCACATTAAATAATTTGAATATTTTTTTATTGATGATATTTTATAAATAAAAATAGCAATCATAAAAATATTTGTTTTCTTTTAATACTAAAGCCATAATTTATCATTTAAGTATTTATTATTAATAAAAGCTAATGAAAGTTGTCATCATATATGTCAAGAAGATTATAAAAATTATTTAGGAATTAATACAAGTGAATTCTACCCAACCAAACGAGTGAATCTGAAAACATGATGTCTTGAAAATGAAAAAAAATCACAGATATCACATTTTTTTAGGATCACACTTTCTTTCGAAATTTACGATACCCCCTTAAAGTATACATATGTAAATTTAAATAAATTTAAAATAAATTTTCAAAATTAAAATGATTAAATTTTTTGATTTTATATTTAATTATATGCATTAATTTTAGGGGGATTAAAATCATATTGCTATTTGTCTATTTATTGTACCCAATAATTACTTATAAACTGTTAAAATCATGTGTAATTAATAAAAGTCAAATTAACTTTTTAAGACTCCAAATCTCTAATTAAATATTAAACATACATATGTTTTTCCTTTTCTTTTTTTTTTTAGCTTATTATAATTTTTTCTTTTCATATGATATTTTTATTTTTAATTTTACTCTAAATTTCTATCTCATCTTATAATCTTTAAAAAGGTAGAATTGAAACCACTTTATAAAATGTTTAAAAAAATAATAACTTCTAATCTCAATGGTTATTTTTTTTTATTTTAAAAGTATATTTATTTTCTTGCTTTGATAAAAAATATGTTACTTAACTATTGATTTATTTATACTTTTTTAATTTCAGTTTTAAATTACCAAAAAAAAAAAAAAGGAATTAAGAAAGTTTGAGTACTTGAAAGTCTTATACATATATATATATATTAAGTTTAATGTTGTTATAGTAATATTTTTATAATTTTATGAACATATTATATATATATATATATATATATATTGAGGGATTTGTTTTATATCGATGCAAAATAAATTGTTTTACACTCTTTTTATAACCTTATATAGAATTAATATTTTACAAATCAAATGTTATATTCAATAACTTATTTGTATCCGTTATGCATAATTTCAAGTTAATATGATATCTTATAATTTTGATTTTTATATATGATAAAATTCATAGAATAATTTTTATAAAAAAAATGTAAAATTAATTAGCCTTTTCAAAATTAAATGTTAAGATCCATCTGAGCACATTGCTATAAAAAGATTGATGTAAAAAAAAAAAAAATAGTGCACCATGGGAAAAGAGAAAAAAGGAAATAACTCACAAAGGTTCTTTGCAATTGCATTAAGGATTTACACCATGAATGAATAATAGAATTTTCTTGTCTTATTCTTGATTAATGATCAAGTCGATGATCTTACACATAACCATGCAAGTTTTTAATTCCACAATTGATGTAGTAATCCCACATTAACTTAGATATAATTTACAAAATAATGCTATTCCTCTTCGTAAGTAGAAATGTTTGTTGATTTCATATTTGATAAGAAAAAGGCATATGGACATATGAGATTTTTTAAATCCTTCTATCTTTTGTCTATAAAAATATGAAAATTAAAGAAATATTTATGTGAAGTTTGTTAGGTGAAATTTGTAAAGTTTTTTTTATTAAAACTGATTAAATAAAAATTAAAATAAAAAATCAAAACCAATAGATTGAAAGTTTTTATTACATAAATCAAGTATGCAAATTTTGAAAAATTTTAATAAATTTTATATGTTTTTTAATGAAACAATTTTCGTAAAAATTATAACAAGCATTAATCAAATTTAATTATAAATGACATTTTCAATAATTTATTTTACATATTATAGATTTTGTCATTTAACTCTATCAATCTCGATTCGAAATTTTTATTACATTTTTTAAATAAAAATTTAATAAAAATTTTACAAACTTCACCTAAAAACTTTATATAAGTTATTTCCTAAAAATTAAGGGGTAAATTAAACTTATAAATCTTCAGGTTTTAAGTAGTCTTACTTAAGGTTTTATATGTTTTATGTTGCATCTATCATCATATGATTATTATGTTTTGTCATTAAAAACCTATGCATTTTGTTTCATTCATTTTCAAAAAGCAATGAGGAATGTACTCAAAACTCTTAAACGATTTTCAAAACTATGGAATTCATGAATCAATGAGGGGTAGGACTATTTACACCTCACATTCTTTTCAACACACCCTTACTTTTTCAGCTTTAAGAAAATTACTTAAATACCTATTATTCAATTACAATTTTACCCTTCACGCACTCTTCTTCTCTTCATTGTTGTTTTCTCTCCTGCATAACTTTTTTCTTTTTTTTCTTCTTCTTGGCAAGCAACAAGATTGTTATGAAAGATCTAAACCAAGAGTTATAATTTCTTGTAAGTTGTCATAATGGAAAGTGAACTTGAAGTAAACAACTACAGCATTGAAAATTAAAGGATGAGGATACGGTAAGTTGATTTTATCCTTAAATTCAAAAATTTGAACTTACCGAAAATACTTTTTTGGAAACTATGTTAAGTTACCTAACATACATATGTTGAATGTCTTTGTATTTACTAAAACTCATTTTCAAAAATTCGCAATATATAATGGAAATGTATTTTCGAAAGTAAAGAAAAGTTACTAGAAATTAAATTTCAAAAACATCCTCAATATACCAAAAATGCATTTTCGAAAAACATATCAATTTTCCAGAAATACATTTTTGGAAGATTTTTTTTAAGAATTTTAATTTTGTTTGATTAACATACAAAATAATTCTCAAAATGCAATGATAGTGTGGAATGAACTAGAGAATGTAAATACCAACTACAATTGTAGTTCTTCATTTTCTACTTAAGAGGTAATATTATGTTTGTAAAGAATTATGATTTAATGTTAGTTTATGTAGATGCAAAATTAGACAATTCAAATTATTGTGTATTTGTTTTGTAGTAGAGAAACATTGATTTTTTGGGTAAGATAGTTGTGAAAAGATATCGGTTTTATGATAATAATTAAAATTTTTGATTTAAGAGTTGCAG